TTATCGCGTGTGCCATTGCTTTTCTACGGGTTTAGGAGCCGTTGGGCTCGGGGCCCGACATAGGCAAAGAGTAGATTCTTGGGTGACTGGTAGCAGCATCCCTGGATCACTCACTGGGAGAGTATTTGGTGATGAGGCATCTGCACCCCCAGGTATGTGACTGTGATGATGACGACGATGCAAGACAAGTGGCAAGTTTTGAACATGATATGAAGATTTCTGCTCAGCATGTTCCCTAGGACTCCTTACTTATAACAGTAGTATGTATTTGTCTCTGTATGTTGATATGTATGTGCACGTAGATAAATATACACATGCACACATGTATGTATATGTAGAGATTTATATGTGACATTGTTTATGTGTGCATATATATATATATATATATATATATATTGATGTCTAATTATGCGTATGTACACGCGCACCCGAATCCTAAAACTATGCCCTACATTCGAATAGCTGCTGGCATGAACGAGGCATCCAAACGCAGATGCTCTTGACCGGACTGAAGATGATGTCTATACCCAGAGGCCCAAAGTAGTTCCTTTTGGGGATTACCCTATAGGATTCTATATATGAACTCCGAAAAGGAACTACTCTAGGGCCGTAGGGTATAGTGGTATCAGAAATCTAACCCCAAAAACCTAACCCCACGGCCAACAAGCGCTGCTTCTAGAAGTATCATTAAAGCAGAACCCTGTTCTGTACATATTTTCCCAAAAGACGGCAAACCCGATGGAGCCTTGTTCAGGAGTTTAGGAGATGACCCTATCGAATCAAAGGCCTGAGCGCAGCTGCTTCCCACGACCCTCAGCCATTTTGGTGCTCCTGTCCAGCTTCGGGGGAAGGGTGTCCTGCGCTGCTGGCGAGTATCTCGGAGTCATGGTGCCGAAGAAGGTGACGCCCAAGAAGAAAGTGATGAAGCCGCTAGGGCTTAATTTTTGTCTTGTGTGTTGTATGCGGTTGTATTGTAGAGGCTTGATCAGGCAGTTTGTAGATTTCAGGGTTCAGGTTTTGAGACCTGGCGGTCCAAGCATGTGTGGGGATACCTGATATAGTAATCTGATGGATCAAATTTCAAGACCCCAAATTATTTCTGAACCGCTTCCTAAACTCCTGAGACTGACTGTCAACCCTGAACTCGCAAACCCATGTTGCAAGATGTGGCGTGCCGTCTGTAGCTGCGTGGTAAAACTATTGCAATGCAACCATGCAACTGTAGACCCTAAACTCGACTAGGCGGTTCGGTACGGAGGTGGAGTGGGGATGGCGTGGTGGGGGTTGTGTTGGGGCTTCTTGCAGTACGGTTCGGTTCGATACGGTACTCTGTAAAGTAACCTGTTGAAACGCTCAGCTCATCCCCACCCTAAATTTCGAACACCCAAAACTCTCGATCCTAAGTCTACGCCCTCAAATCGAAAGCGCTCACCACTTCGGGGTCAGAAGTCTAGCCTAGACCTAAGCACTTGAGAGCCAAGAGCCCTTACCAAGGTAGGCGAGGACGAATGCAACATACAAAGGGATATCGATGCATCTGTCTGTATACACATTATGAGTATATAGAGGCTTGTACGCACCTACATGCATTATTCTTCCGGCTTTTGGCAGAAGAGGTGAAGCCACCACCGTGAAGTCCTCCAGAGTCAAGCTTCAAAACGTCGCTTTATGCGAGGAAGATGATACGACCGTGGGCTCTTGAGTCTAAAGTACCGCCCCAAAACCCACCACAGAAATCTCTGAACCTTAGCGCCCAGACTTGTAAACCAGATGTCTACCTCGGGATTCATGCCGTATCGTTGACATGAATCCAAGCCCTCAGCCCTAAACTTCGGCAATGGCGACTGCACCCCAGGAAAATGAAAAAGGTGGAGATCAGCGAGCGAACTGGTCTCCCCAAGATCATCCGGAGAGATCGCGGCCGACCTCGGGCTGCAATTCTGAGATGCTTCGGGCCTATAGATAGGGCTTGGGCGGACCACATCCTCTGTCACGGGGCTTGAAAGGGGGCTTCTTACGGTCTATGTGCTTTCGGCATGGATTCAGCACATCGGGCTGCAGCATTCCGTGCTCTCAGCCGCGTCTTCTTGTTGCTGTCATGTGTGTGTGTGAGTCCTAATTGCTTGTGATGATTTCGCATTTATGTCGATGGATTTGGGTTTGCTGCTTCTGTTTTGAACTCCAGGCACAACCTGATGTGTTTTGGTTTCGAGTTGACGACTTTGTGTTATGCTTCGCGATCCTCCATAGGTAGCTTTTGGTTTTCTCATGTTCGAGCCTGGATTGAACCGAGTTTGTTGCCCGCTTCTGGGCTTTGACTTTGGGGGCAGGTTTGAGAGTGCGAAGATCTTGACATGAGTTTGAATAATGCTTCTTGTGCATCATGTCTTCGGGCAGGTGATAGAGAACCCGGGAGTTGATACGTTTGACCCGGAAGCACATTTACCTAATAGCAGATCGAGTGGGTACCCTTCTTGGGGGGCTACTATAATCCCGATGTCATCCCAAAGGTTCACCGTTAGTATCCCCAGGATACTGGACAACTATCGTAAGTTAGTCAGCCTTACAGTCAGCGGTTTGGGAAGCGATCTTTTGGAGTTCGGGTGTTTGGTTGTTCTGTCGGGAAATCTGTGCATTGCATGTGGGGTTCGCTGCAAAGAATGCTGAATCCTCGACCCTGACCCTGCACCTGCGATCCGAGCCCGGTTTAAGGTTTAGGGTTTAGGGTTCAGAGTTTAGGGTTCAGAGTTTAGGGTTCAGAGTTTAGGGTTTAGAGTTTAGGGTTCAGAGTTTAGGGTTTAGGGGGCAGCCGATGGTCCAGTCATCCTGCGGGAAAGACTAAGCTCCGGGTCTCAGGTTGAGTGGCCACGGCATTCGACACCCTGAAGAGAGGAAGGCCCCAAAACCTAAGCCATGCAAACTATAAGTCCGACCATGAATCCCGGGAGTCTTACAACGAAGCTCTGCTAATTTAGTGTATAAGTCTACCCCCTTGTTGCTCGGCTATGTTGTCGCTACAACATAGATTATTCAATATTCTAACTGTTCTAACTACTACGACCCCACATATGCCATCCCTAAGCCCGGTAAAGCCCTTCTCACAATCTGCAGACATGCCGCAACACCGCATTAAAGCTCATTCGATTATAGAACGGCCCCCATTTCAGACCAAAGCCTAAAAGCTCAAGCATCATCTCAAACTCCAACCATCTCCAACCGAACTCAAAGGCAAGGCTGCAATCCGCGCAACCAAGATGACGAAGGCCAGCGTTGAGGGTTCAGGTTTTGGAGTCTAGAGGTTTGGTGTTCCTTGCTTTTTGTTTTGAGAGCTTCAGAGAACTTCAACAGTTTCACATCAAGTATCGTGCAGTTTCTATGGGCTCCATTTCCAAGAAGCAAAGTTTAAGTCTCCATAATCAGGGATCCAATACAGGTGCAGGTACACACGCATATGTATATACATATATGTATATATATATATACTTATGTATACACACATGCGTATGCATGCATGCATATGTTTATGTTTATAAGTGCATCTGGTTATACATACCAGATACAACTATCTATATACATGTTTACATGTATGTATGCATGCTTCTTTACATGTATGTGTGCGTATCTGTGTATACACACATCCCTTGCATGGCAGCTCAAGCAGTGGAGTGTCTCAGCCATAAACCCTTGAAGCTTTTGCATCCGATATACTGGGAGACTTACCCTATAAGCCTTAAACCCGAAACGTTCAACCCGATACTTATATCCCTAAAACCCCACTGGCCCTAAACCCTTGTGGACTATGTGGAGCCTTGCCTGCCTTGTGCGAGACTGAGCGTCGAAACCCTGGAGGCAGAATGGCTCTCCTTCCAAACGGCGAAGTTTAGGGAAGCCTGGCCAAGACCTTCCTATTGTTTCGAGCCGCGGAAGGAGGGCCTGGCCACTTCGGCACTCATTGAGAGGCTGAGGGTTTAGGGGCATCGGGTTTGGGTTTGGGGGTTTCGGGTTTAGTCTGATCAATGATTTATGGGCTTCTGGGGCTCTCATGCTGCTTTATCGCGTTTTCCCCTGGCTTGCGGTATGATTTGCGCCAAAGCCCTGTTGGCATTCTTGTGGCCCTACCGCTTAGTCCAAGGTGCGCGACGGCGGCGAGGGTCCATACCGTTGGCAGACATTCGAGCTCGTCACGCGGTGGACGAAGGACCTGACAGGATTTGGGAGTTCAGGGTTTAAGGTTTTACTCAGAAGCTGTTATACGTGTTGCTTGAAGGTCTATGCCTACGCAAGTTTTGGAGTGTTAGTGCCAGGTTTGAAGGTGTATAGCGATAGAGGCCCGCTGATGGTCTCAAGAGGACTAAGAGGAGCAGAGGTCTTAGTAATCAGGGTGCCGAGGAACAGGGTGTGGTGGCGTGCGTACTTCACAGATCGGAGGACTTAGCCAGTCGGTCCTGAGTGGGGTTGCCATGGGGATCGTCCGGGTGAATGTCCTTATCACTGGTATCTGGTATACAGTCCTTATATGTCCACAAGACGACCGACCGACGTACTGCGTTCCAGGTTCCTGGGTGAGAAACATTCCGGGTGGTAGACCTCAATGTCACTATAGGATGCACGGTTAATTCAGATTTCTCATGTTTTGGCTCGCTTCATCAGCTATTCACGAGGCGTAAAAAAGTCAAAAAGCTTGCCGAAAAGCTCCATGTAGGGGCCTAAATAACTACCAATACTAGTTTGTGGGCTCCCTTATTATACTTACGGTACATTGGGCCCCCCAAACCCTATTCTAATTATCAAGGCCTTTGCACTAAGGGCCTCAGCCTTTAGTTCCATGTCCCGGGCCTTGGGGCCAGCATAGGACTGGCAGTAAGCTCAAACCCGAAACCCTGGGCATGCTTACTTTCGACGTGTTTCATACAGGTCCAGGGCCGACGTACGACGCGGATGATGTATTACATCGTTTGTACGTGAATTTGTAAGCCGTGGTTTCCTTACCGCCCAGAGTCATGGCCGCGGTGCCGGGGAGTTCTCCGAGCTGCGCGGGTTTGCGTTGCCGGTTTGGCAATGGCCGTGCAGCCACGGCCATGCCACGGGTACCTTCAATGAACAAAATGCAGATACAGCCCCTCCCCTTGGTGCTGGCTTCGGTTACTTTGAGACCCAGCCGTAGGCCGCAGCAAAGGCTCTTCGTGTCACGTGAGCAAAGACATGTGCGGGCCTGGCAGCAGCGGCTGCCAAATGCATTGACAATCCTCCGGATCTTGGCTGTGGTGCCCGTGCTCGCTTTGTTCTATGTTCCCTGGAAGCACGGTCCCGTAGTATGTTCCTGCATTTTTGCCGCAGCATCCGCAACCGATTGGGTCGATGGCTACCTCGCCCGACGCTGGAAGGTCGTCTCGCCCTTTGGCCAGTTCCTTGATCCTGTGGCAGACAAGCTGCTGGCATGCGCAGTCCTGGTGTTGCTGCCAACAGCAGCCGCGGAGAAGGGATCTCGGACGGTTGCATTGCTTGCCATACCTGCAGTCCTGATCATTTTGCGCGAGATTTTTGCGAGTGCTCTGCGCGAGTGGACTGCATCCGTCGGCGAGAGCTCTCTGACGAAACTTCGTCATAGTTGGGTAACATTTTACAAGTTTATGGGTACTTAAACCCAAGAAGGAATACCAAATTTAAGTTTTCAATTTTATCCCAACCATGAACTAGGAAAGTGGGTATTTGGGGGAAGCTGAAGACCGCCTTTACTCTCTTCAGCCTCACGGGCCTCCTTGCCACCTGCCGCTCTCACTCTAATGGAGTCTTCAAGGTGGGTGGTCGTCAAATTTAGGGTCCCTTTAAAATTTGGGGTCCTTATTATACTTCGGCACCTAATATTTAGGGGTACCCCAAAAAGGGACCCTAATCTTGACAACCACCCAGGTCAGCCTTTGCCTTCTCTACATCGCCACGGCGCTCGCGTATGTGTCCGTAGGCAGCTACGTCAAAGCCGCCTTGCCGGCCTTCAGAGCTCGAAGCCAGCACCCCAAGGAAATTTAGGGCTCCTTCTTTAAAGGTTCCCTTAAGGGGATCTTTTTAGGGATACCATTATACTATAAGAATAAGCTCTATCATATCTGCATTGAGTCCTTGGCATGTTCGGATCTGGTCTGGGCTTTCGCGAGGAGGATGCCTTACACAGGCCTGTGTTTGTTCCATGGTGCAAAGTGAAAGGGCCGAGCTTGAGAAGCCCCGTTGTTGCAATGGTAAGGACTTACCAGCCAAGTTAGATCCTCATACTCACTTCTGTGGTCAGATTCAGTTCATTTCAACTCCATCGGTCTCGTTGTCCGCGCGATTGTCCATCTTGTGGCAAGCTTCAAAGCAACGAAACCTTGCCTGCAGGAAAAAATTGCCCGAGGGTGCGAGCTAGTCGAAGTTCCCCGAGCCTAAGCACACCAACCCAAAGCAGGAATCCTCAAATTCTGCACAACCCTAAACTCTAAACCCTAAACCCTAAACCCTAAAACCCTGAGAACCTTGAATCTGAATCTATTCCCGCTGTACCCTGTTCCCTTCGTGTTTTCTTAAACTCCCGCACCAAAGCTGAACCCCTAAGGGTCCAAGTACTCCCCATGAAAGGGCTTGGGGTCCCTTCTGGGTACCAAAAACCGTAAATAAGGACTACTTGGACCCTTAGGGGAAGACTTACTTAAGAGGGAGAAGAAGGGCACCCTGACCACCGAACCCTCCCGAGGACAGGCCTGAGATTTAGGATTTAGGGGTTTGGTGGTTAAGGGGGATTCGGGTTTAGGGATTTAGTGGTAGCTGATCGGCAGAGTCTGGGTTCAAAAAATGGGGTGCACTGTAGTGGTTGAGGGGGTGTAGGGGTTTAGGGTTTAGGGGTTCAGGGTTTTGGGGTTTAGGGTTTGGGGGTCCTTGGGAATGGGGGTTTAGGGCGACTCGCCTGGCTTTCCCGAAATGTCAGTGTCAAGAAAGGGCTTCTGCATCATCCGCCCGCCGAAGACACGGCATCCCAAAACCTGGAAGCTAAGGAAAGCCCCTCACACCAAGCAAAGGTAACCATGCTCCCTTTGTCGTTAGAATGACACTCCAAACCTAAAGCCCACAGCCCAACACCTGACACGAAGCCAGCCATGAGGTTGAAGCCCTTAACTTCTAGCCCACAAAAACTTCGAACCCTATAAATCCCCAAACCCCATAAACCTTAAGCACTGTCAGAGCCAGGACACGAAGATCAAGTACCGACCCCACGCCAAAGCTCCTGGGTCAAAGTCCCACATCCGCTATGAGAAGTATTCCAAGGCCTTGCCGTGGGGTTTAGGGGTAGGTTTACATATGGCTAGAAGTTAGGGTCCAGGACGGGTTCAGAATTTTTGCCTTAGGCTTCTTTGGTTTAGGGGCTGCTTGAAGGTCTGTAGCGTTTTGTTGTAATTTGGGATTTCGTGTTTAGGTGGTGTGGGCTTGGGATGAAGGACTTCACGGATTTCGGGCTACGACAGGGACTGCAGGGCATTTGGAATACCAATCATGTCCAAGGCCTCGGCGGTTTCTAAGGGACTCAGGATTCACGATTTCGGGTTTACAGACGGAGTTTTCGGACAAACGGCCACGGCTTTGGGTTCGGGGTCCAGCGAGTTTGGGTTTAGGCGCTTCTTGTGGATGCCGATAAACCCTAAACCCTGCCCTAAACTCTAAACCCTATACCCTTAACCCTAAACACTGAAACCCTGAACCCTTAACCCTGAACCTATTTCCGAGGTGTGGGTTTTGGTGTCTGGGGGCTTGGGCGTATATCTGTTGTCGCTGGCTTTGTGGTTTAGGTTGACTTCCTGGGAGTTAGTAGGGCCATATAGGTTCATTTAGCTTCCTACCTTCGTCGTGGTCGTGGACCTTCTGTAAAACTTGAAAGCGTGATGCTCAAACTCTAAACTCTCAAACCCTCAAAGTACCGTAAAGCTTGAAAGTTGTGCTCACAAACACCAACCCCCAACCCCTAAACACCTGATTTTTGCTGCGTGTATGCAGCACTGGCGAGACGGAAGGCCCCAGACATAAATTCCTAAACCCACTACTATCCTCATGTAGGAGCCTGATTAACAAACCGTGGCCCTACAACCCCAAGAACATAGGATTCGTTTCTTACTTTGCGTCAGTCCTAATCGCAACCCCCCCTCAGCAAACTGGGAGCTCTGAGTGCTGAAAGGCAGCATTCCGTGTGTTTGTTCTACATGTTTTGCCCAAATAGAAACCTTCAGGCTTGTAGTGGAAGCTGCTGGAGTTTTCATGGGCTTGCATCATAGTAGTAGCCTTGTGGTCAATGTTGTCATTCAGGGCCCAACATACCAGTGTGTACCTAAACACAGTGAGCCACAGCTGAACCCAAACACTTAAACCCCTAAGCCCTCAGCAGATAACTCTAAATCCTAATCAGCCCTTGAACATTGCGTGTACCGTAAGAGCGGCGAGATCGACAGAATGACCCCAAGACCTCGCACGCCGTCGTGTTTGATTAGTTTCTCTGCATCCTTACAGGTATGTACGTGCTTAACTTAACAAGTGTACAAAGAGATGTGTATGTATCTGCATTTGTATGTGTGTTTATGTCTTATGTCCATATATGTGTGTGGAGTATAGAGTTCCGGAGCCGGATAAAGACGGCAGGCCAAGACTGTCGGCCAAAGCCTTGCGCTGGGATCCTACCCCATCGACTGGATCTACGACTATGAGCACGGCTTCATCAAGGCGAAACTGCTTAGTGTCGGGGTTTATAGGATGATAAGGTTTAAGGGTCAAGGGTTTTATAATGCTCGGGATCTGGAACGGCTTGGAGTTTGGAGTTTAGGGTTTAGAGGTATCGGCTTTCCATGCAGGTGCTTTCATCGGGCTCAACAGGCTCACACGGAACAGAGGTCGCTGTAATGGCTTTACCTCCGAGGCTTGTACACAAGTTGATCCATAAGGCTCGCGTCTGGAGATGAGGACTTGTACCAGCCGGAATTAAGCTTGTGAAATAAGAGTTCAAGTCGTGCCAAGGTGTTATCAGTTTGCTGGTTGGACTTGACCGCTGGGTCTTTTCGAGCAAAGACTTCTCAGGGTTAAAACGCACGCCCAAAGCCCGAGACCCTGACTACATGAGACTTGCTGACAACTGGGGACCCTGACATCCTCAGTGTAAGATCCCTTAAAGCAGGGGCTCTAGTTGCAATAAACCTATACTTCACATTTTAGGAAGGCTTGGCAAACTTTGAGTCCGAACTTAATAAAGTCCCCCGATCACAGTCCTGCTAAAGGTGTTGGGCGGCCATATCCGCGAGGAGCCGATTGACAGGAGCAAGGCGAGCGGCATGGAGTTTAAAGGGTTTAGGCCTTTACGAGCGTCGTCCTGCCATGCAGGTCGAGCACGACTGGCAGCTGACGGATGTCGACAGAGCCATCATGCACTGGTTCATGCGGGAGCTTTGCAGACGGTGCACCTTGGAAGAAAAAGACATCCACAAACCCTAACTAGATGGTAAAACCTCAAAAGACATCGGGTAATGTGTTCGGCTGCATGAGTTAGTGTCGAATCCCAAGTCCTACCCTCAAATTTCGTGCTGGATCCCCCGGCAGTGCAGCTTTTGTTCTCTATGTAAAGGGTCTAGGAGTCTAGGGCTTTACAATGGCTAGGAGTTAAACTTCATCACTCTCGGAGCGAGCTCTTTCAGCAGACGGGAATTGAAAGCCTTACGTGGGTGATCGATCTACATTAAATCTACATGAGGCGTTTGTTTCCTTGATCTACCTTTTTTTTGGTGGGTGTAGGGGCTTCTGCGGCGTTTATCCGAACCTTCTGACTGTGAGGCAACCTGGAAAAGTGGCAGCTGCACTTGGAGAAGGGCTGCAACGAGTCCGTGTGGATGAGACTTGGCGCCGGAGAGGGGTGCTTTGCTATTTCAATGGGCTCCTTGGATTGGGGTAATCCTAAATATGACAAATAAGAGTCCTTGCATAAGGGATCTTTAATCCTAGGTGCCATCATTCCACCTCTTGAAGCCCTCTCTGCTTTGCTTGTGCGCTTTCTTCCTTGCGGGCTATATAGGAGCCCTCGTCCTTCGCAACGAGTCTTTCCCGCGGTCCCGCAGTGTTGCGGGCTGCTCCTGGTCAGCTGTCGTGCCATTCGTAACTGCGAGAAGCAGAAGGTTTTGCATGCCCTATCTTTATCTCCAAACAGAGTCGATGTTTCGTGCACAGATGTGTTCTTACTTCCGCATGCACCGTCGTGGAGAACACAGGTAAACAATTCGTGAGAATCCGACAGTTTCAGAGAACCCGACCAAACCGAACCCTAGTTAATGTGGCAAATAAAAGACTTGGGCCGACTTGCACAAAAGCCGTAACAGGAAAGTCATGAAACCTTGTGCGCAACTGCCCTTCCGTTTGTGGGAGATCCGAATCCCAGACGCCTTGAAGGGTCCAACAGAACCCTTGAATCCTTTGTGCCTCATATGATGGTAGAAGACCTTTTTGTGATAGTGTTCGTAAGGTCCTAAGGCTGTATTGAGCCCCCATGAATCCGAGCTCTTGTCAAGAACCCCTCTGTAGAACTACAGAGCCCTTAGATCCTTGTGCAGGTCTGGATTAAAGCCAAAACCCTACCAAATTCAGCTGGCGACAGATCAAGCAGACGAAGCAACTATCAATACACAAGATGCAGTATGCCCTGAACGCTAGACCCAGGCTCGTCCCAGTTGTGAGTGCTAAGACCCCAGAACCCGAAATCTGCAAACCGCAATATCTTTGTTAACTAATATAGTTTTAATATGATTTGTTTCATTATTAACTGTATTTTATTTATCTTTATAATTATCACCATGGGCCTTAAACCCTGAAACTCAACAGACTCCGAACCACATGCCTCGCCTTGATTGCCCGAGTGTGAGCGTTGAAGCCCTGAAACCATAGAGCACCAAACTTTGAACCCCAAAAGCCCTATAGAGCCCTAAACCCTAAAAACCATCAGAGCCCTACACCTTGAACCGTATAAACCCTAACCACACAACCCTGCAAACTCTAGAGCCCTAAACCCTGCTCGGGCGCTGCAGCCCTAAACCCTAAACCCAGCCCTACAAAGACCAGGAGAGCCCACCGCTTGGTTGCCAACCGCACGGCAGGGGAGATCATGGCCCAAGCGGTCTCCTGGAAGGGCTTAGTGTTTAGGGTTCAGGGTTTAGGGGTTTTGGGGCTTAGGGTCTAGGGTTTATAGGGTTTAGGCTTGACTTGAGTCCAGCAGCCAAGAGGGTTTAAGGTTTAGGGTTCGGGGCTTAGGGTCGAAAGGGTTTTATGTTCAACTCGGGAACTCTGTTTTAGACCTTGGGCTTCAGTTTAAGGTTGAGGTGGCCTTGACTCTTACAGATGTTTCAAATCCGACCCACTTTCTAGGGTTCTGTAAGGAATTCGATACGGAGTTCTCTTTAGGCTTAGCGAGGCCCTGGACTATAAACCCTTTAGGCCCCAAACAGAAGCCGTAAATCCCACAACCATCGTAAGCCGCCAAATGCACCCCATAAACCGAAAACGATCTGAGGGGGAGCTCAAAGCAAAAGCCAAGTTAAACCCTACAGCCCTAAGCCCTATAGACCCTTAAGTGCTAAACCGTCATACCTTGGATCCAAAAACCCTACTCCCTATCACCCTTCACCCTATACTAACCCCCTCTGCGCATGGATTTGATCTACCCAGCAGTTTGTTGCTTCGGAAATAGTAGGGTGAGAACTTCTAGTTTGTTTTTTTTGCTTTGTGTGTGTGATTTGGGCGAATTCGGGCCTTCAGGGTTTCCAGTAGTGGGCCGTTTGGGGGTTAGCACTCCGCTCATCAAACTGTTCAAGGGCCCAAGGGAGTGTTGCGCGACTGAGGAGAAGAAAAAGCGCGCGATCAGCAGCGACGACATCAACAGGATGCTCCATAGACACTGGCATTCCTTGTGGTTGGTGTCTAGGGTTTTGGATTTGGCCCAAGTTACTCGCCGGTCCTAATCATCATTCAGGCAAGACCCTAAGCCCAAACTTGCTGGGTGCTTTAGCTGAACCCAGAGCCCCAAACCTCCCTACAACTCCCTACTTCTTATTCTTAGTGTTATTGCAATTGCTAGCGTTATTTTTTTTGTTGCTTTATCATTCTTCTTCTTAGAGTTGTATTTGGTACTACTACTGCGATTAGTTTTGCTATCACTATTGCGATGACCGTGACTATGGCTATGACTAGTACCATTACCATCCACTAAGCCGTACACCTTAGAAGCTGCCCCCACCCTGTAATAGTGGTATAATAGGACTAGAATAGGGCCCTAATATAATCCTTATAGTCACTATTACAGGGTGGGGGCAGCTTCTAACGTACACCGCAGGATTCTCAAGTGCTGGGCATTCGCCAAGAACCCGTTCAGGGTGAACGTCATGCCGCAGGGCCAGCAGCGGCTGAGCACTTCATTTTTTTTTGTTTGTCGTGCTTGTTTCGAGTCGCGGCGCCGCGTTCTTCCGTAACGGTGCGGGTTTACCTTGTCTTAAGCGTTTTTTGGTTTAAGGGCTTTGGTTTTTTTGTCAGGGCTGCAGGATTAGAGCGGGATGTTGTTAGGGTGTACTAAGCAGCTCAGGGAACTTATAGCAAGCACTTTAGGCACCAGGGTCATGTCCTTCACATTACAGCCCCGACCATAGTGATGGTACATATTACCCATATTGCCGAATTGTAAGCTTCATGATCTGTCACGAAGCCTGTCAGGGATGTTTTGCAGACAGTTGAGGAGGAGGCTCGGGGTTGGGATTCCAAGAAATTTCAATCTGGAGTTTCTTAATCCCAGAGGGTCCAAGTACTCCCTATTTTAGTACTTGCGGGCCTTTTTTGGTATCAAAAACCATAAATATGGATTACTTGGACCCTTAGGGAATTATAAGGGTGCATGAGCCAGCTTCTTTACGTGAACGAACTTGCTCTTTACAAGTAGGAGCTACATCGGTGATTCACTTGTTGCAGGACTTCTCGCATACTTCAAATCTTGAGCACCCCTAGCGTGTAGGAGCCCCATGAATCTGAACAGTGCCCCCTATCGGGTCGGAATAGTCCTGCGTACGCACACACACACACATACCGATGCACATGTTCAGAGCTGTATAAAACCACTGCTAACAAGTTCGAAAAATCAGATCCTGAGGGATGCACATTGCTCAGATACGTGCTTGCATGCAACCGCACACGTTTACGCGGCTTGCATGATTGTCTCATGCAGCTAATTTCATGAGCACTTTCGTGCATCCTGTCTCGGCTGCCTGTTGTATATATGCATCTGCATGTAGAGATTTGTGTGTTTATCCCGTAGTCTGCTTTCGTCTTTGCAGGTCAGAACTTCGAACAGGCAGCAGATAGATGGAAAGGTTGACGGATAGGTAGGGAGGCAGATAGATAGACCGCAGTTGGACAGATAGGTAGATGGATGGATAGCCATATGCAGACATGAGTGCATATGTTTTCACGAACTCACACCCTCAGTTTTCTTATCCCTTATATGCATAATTTCCGTACTTTCTGATAACGGTGCAGTCTTGCGTGCCATCGTGTTTACTTGTGACATTGCCGCAACAAACTGAAAGCGTTTGTCCGCAAGAGTTTGGCTTGGCCCGGATCTTGCATGGGGCCAAAAACCCTCAAAGCTGTAGACCATAAATGGTCTCTGACCGGAGCAGTGCCCTCAAAAAGTCATACACCAAATAAGGTGGGTGAAGAGCGACACGCTGGGCTTGCTTCGGGATCGCGGCGGAAAGCTCATCGTGACGCGGCCGGCCAGGGAGTACCCGAACGTGGCAAAGATCCTTGCTACAAGTATGTTAAGGTTTAGCGTTCGGAGGGCCAGGGTGGACCTTTCGTTTGTTTGCGTGTACCGTGCGTACTACCTGAGCCCGTTGATTCGATGCACCACCCCCCAGCCCAGAGTTAAACCGAATTCCAGTTATGAACGCCCCTTCAGTAAACCCTCAAGTCCGTAAACACGTACATGACAGCAGTGGAGAAGCCAGGATCATCGCGCGATGGCTCCATGGCAAGCTTCCCAGAGAGGCCAAGCACTTCAAGTTCACGAGCCTGAATCTCCGCGTGTTGCATTAGGAGCCATTTTTCTATTGCAGTGTAAATCTTAGGGTTTAGGGCAAAAGGGTACTCTGGTTGTTTTGGGTTGAAGGGGCCGGGCCTCTAGGAATCTTGACTGGCGTCCTTTGGAAGTCTGGGACTTGAAATGCGTAACACTCCAAGGCTTCTACGCCAAAATCCTCAAACCGAGTTCTTTCTGAAAGTATATAAGGAGTTTGAACCACCTGAAACCCTAAACTTCGAAACCCTAAACCCTAAACCCTAAACCCTAAACCCTAAACCCTAAACCCTAAACCCTACTGTAGTTATCAGGAACTTGAACTGCAACTACGCAGCGCGGCGGCACCGCGACGGCAACAACTTCGGCCCGTCGATGATCAAGGCCACACCTAATCTGCAAAGCTGGAGCGTATAAGGTTTAACGATTTGTGGTTTCGGGTTTCGGGCTTAGGACGAGTTGAGCATGAAGGCTTCTGAGCTGCCGGGTTTTGGAGTTCAGGGTTGAGCTTTGTCTTGTTCATAGCCCCATCAACGACGTGTCTCGTGCCCTTACCCTGAATCAGCAGTTTAACAAAGCCGGGTGTCGGGCTCAACATACTGAGTAACGTCCGGGTTGAGAATGGTCGTGGTGGTGATATAGTGATACTGCTAGTGCCGACGTTCAGCAATGATGAAGTGACGTTGCTGTTATCTTCGCAGTTGTTTCGTCGTTGCACTTCGTAGTTGTTTGGTGTGGCTGTGGAGGTGGTATCGGTGGTGGCGGTTGTGCAGCTGCCGCTGGTGCGGGTGCTGGTGCTGGCTTTGGTGGTGTGGCTGTGGTCTGTGGTCGGTTGATGTGGGTTTGCGTTGATTGGTAGTTGCGGTTGTGGTTCCGTTTGTGGCCGTTGATGGTGCCTTCTTTTATTTAGGGACCCAAAAAGCACATAAGCATAAGCATTATATGGGGATATCCCTACTTTATTGGGCTTCATTATAAGGGGGTTTATATGGGATATCCCTATCCAAATTTCAGCTTATGTGCCTTTTTGGGGCCCTATTTATGCTTCCCCCTTGCATAGTCGCCATCTTGGTAGCATGAACCCTCGAATGTTGCGGCTCTATAGACAGTCTCTGGGCTAGAGACCTTGCTATCGGGATCGTGGCTTAGCCATGTAGTCAGGCTTTCTTCGTTTTCGTCTATTCCACCCCAAGCCCTAAACATCAAACCATGAAGCCCTAAGTCCGAAACCACGAAATCCGAGAACGTACCCTAAGCCCTAAGTGTCTGTTGATCCCTTACAGGAGCCCTTTGGGGAACCCTAGCAAGACCAAACGCCGGAGGCTTTCGGTGAGTTCAGAGGAGGAGCGCTTTCGGTGTGGCCGGAGGACAATAAGTCGACGAATCTCAAAGCACTGCCGAACGACAAGAAGGCAAGGCATTGGATTTGGGGTAGGAGCGTTGGGCTCAAAACGGTGATTCGGGTTTGTCGGCTTCTAGAATTATGGTAGGGATCTATACTGTCCTGGTAGATTCACGAACGTTGCGTTTTGGGTTCGTACATAGGATTGCTGACTCCAGGGAAGCTTTTAATTATAGTATCCGGTGCATTTAGCGTATGGCGTTCAGGGTTTTTCTTGGGTGGTCCATGGTTTCTAATGCGATTTGTGCAGCAGACTGGGATTCCAGCTTCAGGATTGTCTATATATAGTAGGTCTAACGGATACATATAACCCGGACCCCACCCGTCGGGCGAAAACAGCCTGGTATTGTTGAAGGGTTGACCTTTTGCGGCCAGGGAACTGAGCGAGGTATAGCATGGCCAAGCAAATATCGATTGTCACTTGACTGCGTAGGTAAACACATACATGCATGTCCGGTGTATTGTAATTGTAGGGTTCATGATGCCTGGTGGATGGTTTGTGTATACATACACATACATATGATGTGTATGTATATGAGGCGGAGGTGGAGAGATGGAGAGAGATGGAGAGAGATGGAGAGAGAGAGAGAGAGAGTGTGTGTGTGTGTCTGTCTGCCAGAACAGCGTTTCTAATGGCAATCGTGTCTAGGGTGTGGTATTTCGGAGCACGTGTGTCAAACATGCACACATTCCTATCCATCCTTCACGCTTCCATCCATGCTTCCATCCATGCATGCATACATACATAGATATACACGTTCGTGAGTACATACATACCGTTCATGCGTTCATTCGCTTGTTTTTTCGTTCGTTCGGTCCTTCCTTCGTTCATTATTTTTCATTGTGTGTATTCATTCGTTCGTTCAATCAATCAACCGTTAATTCGTTCAGACATCCGGTTGATCAGTCGTTAATCCCTTCATTGCTTCCTCCGTTCCTTCTTTTGTTCATCGAACTTTTTGTCTTTGCTTATGCCATTCCTTCATTCGATGTTTCAATCACTGATTCACTCACTCATTCACTGACGCACTCATTCGCTTACGCACTCATTCATTCATTCATTCCATTCATTCATTCCATTCATTCATTCCATTCATTCATTCATTCATCCATCCATCATTCCATTCCATTCCATTCCATCCCATCCCATCCCATTCCATTCCATTCCATTCCATCCATCCATCCATCCATTCATTCATTCATTCGTTCATTCATTCGTTCATTCATTCATTCATTCATTCATTCATTCATTCATTCAATATATAAGCACAAGGACACAAACGCACACAGCCGCATCCATAAACACCCAGTACTACATCCTTTCATGCATACATACATACATACATACATACCCCAAAAGCCTGCCAACCCTATAGCCCGAAAGAGTTGCCTCGCCTGGATTGTCCGAGTGTGAGCGCCGAAAGCCCTAAAACCCTTAACCTAGTGTATACACCCTGGTCTTCAGGTCACCTTAGACATCGGGAAGAACCTGGCTCTGTTTAACGGGAACACAGCTCACGAGGCCGGGAGGTTGATCCGTTATGATTGCCAACATGGAGTGCTTTGGTTTGGGGTTTGCTATCCCTAGTACGCTTCAAAAGCAGCCCACGAAAAACCTTAGATTCTACGCAGGCTTCTTATCAGAAAACCTCGACGCACCTCGCCCTTCATTTCAAAATTGTGAACTTCTCACTCCTAAACCTACATGCTTGGACCCAAACCCTAAGCCCCTAAGCCGATGCGTGAGTCGAAACCTGGTCAACCGTGCAGAGATGTGCCAGAAGCCTGTGTAGCATAATGGCTATACAGAACTCTGGTAAAGTTCAGGGCTTAGGGCTAAGCGCTTAGGGGCAAATTTCTTGAGCATCCTTAGTAAACAGCCGTAACCGCCCTCGGCCATCGTCCCGCGAAAGATTGAACATCACCCAAGGAGGCCGATCGCACAGGCTCCCAGCTTCAGTCGTCTTAGCCCCAGACCCTAGAACTTAAGGCCCCAAACCCTACATCACAAACAGCAACTCTCAACTCCCTACATGCCAACAACTCGGAAACCTACCGCAAGGTGGAGGATTTCGAAGGCAACCGCTTCTCGGTGGTGTACTTCACGGCAGGCTGCCATGCGAAGATGCCGGATGATGTGCGCAAGCAGTTGAATCTTTGGACTCTGCCAGTAACTTTCTTTGTTGTTGTGCTTGTGTGCGTGTGAGAGAGAGAGAGAGAGAGAGAGAGAGAGTGAGTTTTCTTTTGCGGGGGATCTGTCTTTCGGCGTTTCGGGTGCAGTCTTTGAAAGCTTGCAGGGATTCGGAAATTTTAGAGCAAAGGGGTAGGTAGGTAGGTAAGTGACCATAGACAAATATGTACATAAATTTAACCCAAGAGAGAGAGAGAGAGAGAGAGAGAGAGAGTGAGATAGATGGGGGGAGAGAGAGAGCTACAGCAGAATGTACCTGTAGAACCCAGTGTTGCACATCGATGGTGCCAAGGGCACTGCTCGACTTCAAGGTGCCCAAGAAAGATGAGAACCGCTATTCGGTCCTCCGAGCACCGACAGGATACTTGGAGGTCTCTTAGAACGTAGCCTTTTTGCTTTAAAATAACTATATTGCGTCTATTGTGGAGGCAATTTTCAGGAGAGTACGGACATCAGCCCAGGATATTTCACCAAGGCCAAGGCGAAGGGCCCCTCGCTGAGAAGCTGGCATGTGAAGTGAGTCAGGGCGAAAGAGGCCCGAAAACTTCGAATACCGTATATGTTTTAGGGTTCCAGGGTTCCCGTTAAAGTTATCTAGTATAGTAACCTGGTTCAGGCATTGTCTTCAACGCATAAGCAGTAAATTGCTCTAACACATCAGTGTCTTCGTGAGCCACGGTTGTCTGACACAGCCACGCGCCACCGTTGACTGCTTTTGTACTCATACTGCCGTGGGGAGCACCAAACCATGGGAGATGCGAACATCAATTTGCGTGTTACCACATCTGCATTCCCTGCTGGTACTCCTAGTGGCCCAATGGAGCTGCTGCTACAGGGACCACTGCCACTACCACGACGACGACTACTTCTACTGCCGCTGCTGCTTCTGCCAGGACTACCACTACTGCTGCTGATAGTACCGATACTGCCACGGCCACTGCGACTGCTACGACAGGTAGAACTGCTACGACGGCTACTGCTGCTACTAGTGCTACTGCTGCTGCTACTACTACTATACTACTACTACTACTGCTACTGCTACTGCTACTGCTACTGCTACTGCTACTGCTACTGCTACTGCTACTGCTACTGCTACTGCTACTGCTACTGCTGCTGCTGCTGCTGCTGCTACTGCTACTGCCACTGCTACTACGACGACGACTACTACTGCTACATTTCCACCTGCTGCTCTTCGTCATCCACACAGCTGTGCTGCTGCTTCGGTTTCTTTTACTTCTGCTGAAAGTATTGCCATCACGACTACTGCCACCATTACCACCTGCTACTATACTGCTACTACAGCCGCAACCGCGACTGCAAACAAGCACCTCCACACATATTGAAACACCTCCAGTATCACTGTGAACTGATAGGCCAGCATTGAAAGCAACATCGTCATGCTTATCAGTACCTTCACGTACCTTGCCATCGTTGGCTACCGTCTTTTAGTTGGTATGGACATGCTCCCAGGTGAGTGGTGTTGACATATAGTATTTTTACGGGGGGCGTTTGCTTAGAAGTTTGAGCGCAGAGTTTGCGCTGATCAGCTCGTGCCCTGACTCCCTCTGAAGCGCCACCTCAGATGCCTTTGGTCAGTAGTGTTAGTGTGTTGCTCTTGGCCGCCTACTTTCTGCATGCCTTCGTCCATGAGCCTGCCAAGCTGCAACATCTCCAAAGACGCATCAGGTCGTAGGCTGCAGGCGCATCAAGACCTTCAGGAAGTGTTGTAAGTTCTTATCCAACACGTCCCTGGTTCAAAGTGTTGTTTGGTGTCCTTGAGGCCTCTCTCCTAGATCTAGAACTAGGTGGCAATTTGGGAAAGGTTTCAATTTCCATTATGGCTCCTATAGAGGTACCTATTCATAAATACTTTTCAGAGCCCTAAAACTACAACCCAGAGAGGCACTTCCTCTTCAGTCGCAGTGTTGGCGGGGTACTGGCTGGCTGCAGGCTTAGGAGCACCCGTGGGCTGCTAGTGCTCGGATTTTGTCGGTCGCCAAGACAAGTGGACACACCGACGCTCACTGAAAACGTGCAGGCTTACAGGGATGACATTGAGACCTCAATGCTGGGAAACAGCCGTGCTAGTATAGGGGCCTTAACGTTTAGAATCGGGTGTTGGAGCAGTTCGTGGTAGACTTGTATGAAGGAACGCTGGTGATTTTTCATTCCGGCTCCTCCATTCGATACATTGGCTTGCCTCCAACCCATCTAGAGGTACAATCGAAACCTGTAGGACTAGGACGTTCTTCTTCAAACTTTTATGTACCCCCGAGAAGGAAAAGACAACCCCAAAAGCCCCCTTGCAGATTCAAATTGAATCCCAGGGGAAAAATGACGTCCGCGCTCAGCTTCATCGAGATCGGTAACCCTTCGGAATGAGTATCAGTGTATTGGCTAGTGGTGAGTATTCATGTGTGAGTTTCCCTTTTGGATCAACCGTTGCTTCACCTGCGTGTTGCCGTCTAGGTGGCTTTCCGCATGTGGAAAGGGGTAGGCCTCTTTTCACTAGCCAGGCTTCAGTGAGCCTGAACTCAGAAATTCTATCTTAAATCGGAGACATCGTCACAAACTCTGAGAGCTAACATCTCTCCAATGTTAGGCCGCATTTTTTCTACCCTGAAACCGACGGTTTTGAGGTCGCGGCATTAAGGAGGGCCAGTTCAAGTCCTTTCTAAGACGGGCTGAGGGAAGGTCTGGCTTTCCAGCTGTCTCTCCTGTGCCACCATTTGCATCCGTCGGGGTTTAGGGTTAAGGGGGTTTTCATAATACATACGTAATATGCTGAACCTCGAAGCCCTCTTCTAACTAGGGCCCCGTATTCGAGGAGGCCTGCTATTTCAAGCCCTAAGGCCATGCAGCAAACACAGCACGAGCAAAGACGGATGGCTACCCTAAACATTGAAGCCTGAACGCTTGACCTGTAGTTAAACGAACGTCAGCAAGGGCGCGAGCCATTGCCAAAGTGAGCTTTAAGGACATGGTCGCGGGCCAAACTTCTTCATGAGGGCTGAAGGGGTTTAGGGCTGATGGTTTCGGGTTAAGGGAGGACATTCGGATTGGCATTGGGCATTGTTGCAAGGTTTAAGAGTGTAAGGGTAGGGGTTCAGGAGTTCATGAATTGCAGGCATTTGCATGGTGCGACAAAGCGCCAGGTACAGAGTCTTCGGTTTCGGGTTTTCAGACCCTAAACCCTAAACCCTAAACCCTAAAGGAGCTCTTCACAATTCGGTTCTCGTGTTGGAGATCCAGGTTGGGTGATGTGAGCTTAGCTTCATGGTTTCGATCTTCTAGCCCCAAACCCTAGACCCGAGACCCTAGGCCATAAGCCGGCCCCTAAGCTTTTCAGCTCGGGGAGTGGTTGCTTTAATCTTCTTCTGGCCTTAGGAGGCACAGGTGCGAAGCATTTTGGGGAAGGTGGGTTTCGGCTTTGGGGGTCGCGCTGCTCAAGGAACCTTGGCTGGTAGCCCCGTTTGAGGGTTTAGGGTTTGGGTTTAGGTGTTTCACTAAGATTGAAGCCCAAAAGTCACGGTCAATAATACTGCAGGCCCTTCTGGCCAGAAGTTCCCATCACCCGGAAAAGGGTGTTGTTGATACGGCAACTGGTTTAGGTTCAGACACGATTCGGATGTCGCAGGGTTTCGGACAGGGTTGATCGGGCCTGGCCGAGATCCCAATTCATTATTAGGGCCACTGAGCAAGTAAGGTCGCAAGCAAGTGGAGGCGAAGGAGAGTTGTAAAAACACAAATCTAAAGGACGCTAACAGTAACATACACCCTACATGAACGGTCGGGTCGGCATCCTCATTGTTACCCCTCATGTTCCAAAGCTTCTCCAACACATTCTACATGTACCAAACCCTGATAATGTTCAAACCTCTAGACTCTACGTAGAAGCTGTATAATAGCCAAGTTTGTTCCAAGGATGCCTTCAGAACAAAGACCCATCACTCTCTGATCACATCCAGTTTTGTTGGCCTTCTGGCTCAAGGGAACTGGTATCCTTCGGTCCCTAAACTTCCATACATCTTGGTACCTACGTACATTTGTTGGGGGGGCGGACGGCCCGTGCAATGTCGCGACGGCCTTTTGTTTGCGGCTGCTTGGAAGCAAACGCCTGGAGTTGGTATGGCGTTGCGAACATGCCCTCTCAGAGAATGTCACTATAAGTGCATATTTAGGCCTCTAACATTGCCTTTTGCTCTTTTCATGCTCTCTAGTCCTTGCTCAGAACCAAAGTGTGCCAGTTAGCAGTCTCCGTGTGCTGTTTCAAGTTTTGCAGCCGTTTGGGGGACATCGGAAAAGATGGGCAGGTATTCTTGTGCGACCGGCACAACTCCAGACGCCAGTCCTAGCAGTTGCAGCCATAATAATGGCAAAGACAAGAATGCGACCAACAATACGGCAGTACCAGAACTAGCAAAACGAAGACGGCCGCAGAGGTGCCTCACACTCTCCACCTGCACCATTTCTCCGGCACATTGAACTTAACAGCAAGCGTCTCCAAGCCATCACTGACCACCCGCTGCTGCGATGCTGGACCACATCCACCACATCTGCTTGTTATGATAAAGCCTGTATGGTGGCCGTGCCCTTAATGCACCGAGAATGCTGGATCTCATCGTGGTTGTTCCCCAAATTCTTGGGTGCCTCAAGGTCTGTAGGTGAAGTGTTTCCAAGAATCCGTGCGATGCTCCGGCTCAACGAGAGTCACGGCGGGAGGCAGCGCATTCGAGATGTAGACGGAACGATGAGAGACCCACAGAATACATCGAAACTGATGTCAGTCATAAAAGCATAAAATAACCCGAAACCCCTAACCTCTAAACGAAACCCCTGCCTTGTGCGACTGTGTGAGTAAACCTCCAAACCCCCAAACCCTAAATCCCTGATTCCGAAACCCTACATCTAAGTACATATTATACTGACTAATTATAATAAAATTGTATTACGTTCTATTATATTCTATTATATTATACAAGAAGGAGGGGATACGACTTGAGATCGGTGCCGAGAGACCTCAGGAGCACTTTTGCTAGCATGGCTGGGCACTGCCACTGGGGAGGAAGATCCGATCGGCTCCTGCGAGATGTTGCAACCTGGTTTAGCTTCCGCGAAGGGCTTGCGGATCCGGGCTTAGGGGGTTTAGGGTTTAAGGTTTAAGGTTCAGGGAAATGGGTTTAAAGGTTTTAGGGTTTGGGGGCTATGGTTTAGAGTTGATAGGGGTTAAGGCTTAGGGCTTGTAGGGTTTGAGCTTTAGGGCTTGTAGGGTTTAAGGTTAGGGGTTTAGGTGGTACATTAGCTTGACCTGGCTAGACCTGGGTCTAGCTTGACCCTGGGGAAGACCGAGCAGCATGGGTCCTTTACAAGATAATCAAGATTCCTTATCTGAAGTATAGTGTAGTAGACCTTTGCACTTTAAGGTATAATATAGGTTCCTTATCTGAAGTGTAGTATAGTAAGACTCCAAAGAGCCGAAGAGCTTCTTCTAGTTGTTAAGGCCCCTATGTTAGGGTTTAGGGATTCTTCGCCCGAGTTTAGGGTTTGCTCTTTTGGGTGGACGAGTGTTCAGTTTTCGTTGGCGGCAGGGTCCCCTGTCGTGGGTTTGGCATGTTTTTCGGTTGAAGGGTCGCTGTGTGCATGCGTGTTGTGGCTTATGCTTTTCTTGATGCTCGTAAAGTTGGAACAAGCCTGTAGGATGACGATTCGAGCGGTGATTCCCTGTACCTTATTGGCCTCAAGGATATCAGGAGAATGATGTTCCAACTTTCTGGCTTCTACTGGTACCATAGCCCCCAACCCTGGGCATCAAAAGAGCCCGAAAGCCTCATATAGTATGGTCCTTGGGCCCAGAAGCCTTAATACATGAGTCCTCAGATGCCTAGGGCAAAGCCACCCGCGCTTCTGAGGTCCGGCAACTGGGAATGCTCGGACGCCGTCAGTGAAGCGAAGCTTTCGGAGGCTCCGTCGGGCAGACTTCCGAGATCGCCAGACTTGCACAGACCCGCAGGGGCAGGATAAGGACCATGAAATACTGTAATGCGACTATAAAGGTATTACGAGGATACCATGAGATTTAGGGTCTCGGAGTTGGATACCATAGCAAAACGACTGATCTTATGCAGTTTCGCAATAGATACAGCTGTTCTGGATCCTTGAAAGGGAGGTCGTGCAAAAGAAGGAAGTGTGGTTGGGTCTTCAGTCTACAGGGTTTGAGTTCTTATTAACCCTAAGGCCCTAAGGGTCCATGTATCCAAATAGTGTATACTTTGGCCCCAATGTACCTATATAGGGAATACGTTAAGGCCAATGTATATACTATTTAGGTACATGGACCCTTAGGGTAAAGCCGTAAAAGAAGGTTTGAAGTTGACGTTGGGACTTGTACTGTGCACCTCGGCTAAATTATACTGCTTCCAACTTATACATGTACGCACAGCCAACTCTTGCACTCCCCTGCCCGACCTTATGCGAACTTCAACACCAACAGGCAGCACGTTGATCGCTCGCATGTTGAAGTCAATACGTTTCTACTTCTGCTCGTTGTGGCGATGCTGCTGCTGCTGCTGCTGCTGCTGCTACAAGAAACCGTGACCATCTTTTTTGAGCAGCCGTACAAGTTACCTTTGGTTAGTAGGGAATGGAAGAATGGTAGTCATCGTAGTTATAATGGTACCCCATTCCTCCATTCCCTACTAACCAAAGGTAAGTTATAGGATTAAGGCCCTTTGAATCAGGTCAGGCTTTTGCAGACGAGTCTCCAGTTGGAGAAAGTGAATCGCAGTCCGGGGGCCTCAGCAAAGCCTCTGGAGGAGAGGTGGTTTAGGTTTAGGGTTTAGGGGTTTAGGGTTGAGATGATCACCTTTGTGCTGCAGGTTTAGGTCTTGCAGTGCTTCCCAGCTGATCGGCAGAGTCTGGGTTCAAAAATAGGGTTTCTGATTTCGGGTTTGTAGGGCTTCAGGTTTAGGTTTGAGGGTTTATAGTGCTTAGAAAATGTAGTCCTACCATAACCCTTAGCTCCTCAGGCTTCTAGTGAGCTCTAGAAGTTTTTGTTTACAACGATGTGTTCCTGTAGGGTGTTTTTAATACAGTTATGTGGGTATTACAGGGCTTCAGCGGTTTAGCGCTTCAGGTCGTTTGCTGTTTCTGAATTTGCTACAGATTTCATGGGGTCATAGTTTGAGGGTCTAGAGTATAGGGTTTAAAGTGTAAAGTCAATGCGACCATACTATTATAATTTGGACATGGGTACATGATGATCAGTGCTGTCGGGCTCCCCTTGAGCCCTAAACCTGACCGTATATCGGCAGACCTCCTTTTCGCTGCCTCAAGGAGGAAATATCTCAGCTCCTCCATCCGCACAACAAGTCCAACGGTTCGCTGGCAGCATTTTTCGGCCCTGAACCCCAAGCCCGAAACCTTGTCGTGGCAGCTTCAGGGTGAAGGATTTGGGGTTTCTGGCAGACTACTTTCGCTGTCGTCGGCTTGTACGCTTAGGGCAAAGGGGTTTAGGAGAGCCACTGAAGGCTGTCGAGCCTGGTACCTGACTGAGTACATCAGCCTTTAACTTTGTGTGGTTTATCTTTAGATCAAAGGGTAAAAGGAGGGGCCCCTTGTCAGGACCCCTCGGTGTATACCCATTATATAGCCCATTATCATTATGGGGTAGGGGTCCCCATTAAGGGTCCCTCCTTTTCCCCTTTGATTAGAGTCTTTTGGGAAGGCGAACTTGGCATTTTTTGTCGCAGTATTGCCCCCCAATGATCGCTTTACAGCAACTAAGTACTACAATAATTAAGCCCCATAAAGTTGGAAACCGGATTAAGGCCAAATAGTGCTGGGATTCCCTATACGTTACTCTTAGGGATTGAGGCTATGAGGTTTCCAACTTTTGGGCTTCTACGTAGTTATCTTATATCCGAAAACTTATTCTAACCATCAAGGAATCAAGGCCTAGCCCAAAACTCTGACAGCGATTCAGAGGCACCCGACATGCACTACAGCGCCCCTCCATCGCCGTCCTTCTGTCTGAGCAAATGCGCCATGCCCGAGATGTGGCCAAGATTCGGTGTTAGGGGCTTCACGTTCTTTTTGGGTGGAGGTTGCAGGATTTGGGGTTCGGGATTTTCGTTGTAAGGTTTCAAGGACTGAGGTGGTTTCAGTGTTGCTGTGTTGTTTTCGGGCTTTCAGGCTGTAGGTTTCTTGTGACTGCGGTCGTAGTTCGCCCCATCCCTTGTGAAGTTGTAGTGCCGAATCATTGAACCGTCATATAATCACATACTAGCCACGTACTTCACTACAATCCCCAAGACCTTTCTCAAGTCTCAAGTCGCATGGCGCTCGAAGCCTCAAGGAAAAATCTCAGTCCGTAAGCATAAGATGACGGGGCGGGGCTACGAGCCACCTCGGTTCTCATGGCCCAACACTGTGATTCCACGGCCGCAAATAAGTTCGACGAGGTCGCTGGGGGCCCAAGGTTTAGGACATTGGGCTAGTTCAGGTTTAGGGTTTAGGCATACCGTATATTGCTCCAGGGGCTTTTACGGATCAAGTTGCTGCTCGCAAAGCCTTCCGCAGAAGTGCAGCCACCTGCACAGGAGCTTAGTTAGTTCCCTTTTTCAACCATGGAGTGAATCATGTGGGGTGGAGGACATCCAGAATTCGAGCTCCATGGAAAAAGGGTTCTCTTGGCAGTACAGCACCCTGCAGGGTTTGATGGGTTAGGGTTTGGGAGCATTCCGGGCGTTGGAGTTATTACATGTCCAGGCTTCAGTTTCAAGGACATTTAAGTCCTTGCCTGAGTTTTTTTAAAGCTGGGAGAAGATGCCGGAAATCTGCCAGTGCGCGATAGATGCCAGAGCTTTCACATCATTCCCTTGCAAAAGTTGCCTGGATGCGAACTGACAGCAAGGTTCACCACGGCTTGGACGGTCGGAAGCAGCCTATTATCGTCGGAGAAATCGGAGGATGCTGGGATCCGCCAGATTCGCCATTGGCTGGACGCTTGGTGGCAAAACCCATCTCTAGCAGACTTTTACCTCCCAAAACCTACACGATTAAACCGACACGATTTCGGTTCTTGATCATGTTTTCCACATACGTACCCTCAGGAGACTCCGCCGTCGAAGGAGGTCGGTCGAGTCATCGGGATCACGGCCTCGATTCTGCTTCTGTCACTTGTCTGAGTTATGTTTTGGAGGTTGGGGGTTACGGATTTATACCCTAAGCCCTAAACACGATTTTACGGGTTCTCACGGTTTTACGGATTCTCGATGGTTTCAGCATTTGAGCTATGATCTCGTTTCGGCACTGGTCAAACTCTTGAAGGGCTCAGGGCATTTACGTCTTTCGCAGGTTTCGGGACCCGAAACTCTATAAACCCTTAAACCCTAAGCTACTCTGATCTGTGTCAGTGCCGAAGCTACTCTGATCTATTTGTGAGTTATCTGTGCTTCCATGCCGACTCTTTTGCCAAGAGTCCTTTGTCCTCCCTGCTCTTTTCGTGACAGCCCTGAAGCCCTAGAACTCTAAGTTTGGAAATGGCGGGTTATTTTTCTGGAGTAACGAAGACTCCGGGGTGTTGATGCTCAAGATGTGAGAAACGTAGATCTGCTACCGCTGAGCCTTGACCGTGCATGTGACTGTCTGCTGTGACCCGCGGGCGTTCAGGCCTTGACCCAGTTTGTGCTACTGGCAGGAAAACCGTACGACCTTTAGCAGCTCCGTGTGCAGGGGTTGCTTAGTGGCACCGGAGCCTGAGTCGACGCCATAGCTTGTACCACTGCGCTGCTTCGACCGACCTTTTCTTCTTCTACTTCCCTGGCAGCTGGTCGCGCTACTTCTTTGACTCCCCAGCGGGTGTCCTTCTGAACGGCGACCTCGAGCTGCGGGTGCGGGCCCTTCTGTGCCCTTTGTGGCTTGGGCCGTGGTGCTGTGCCAAGGGGCCTTTTGAGGGCAAGCTGCTTTCATTGGCTGGGCAGGCATCCTTCTTTGAACTTTGTGGCCTGGACTTTGCAGGGGGCCCTTTTTCTGAAAGACACCTTCCTCGGGAACTACGGTGTCTTCTGCTTGTGCCTTGTGGGCTGACTGGACTGCTCCAGCTTCTTGGGCCCCTTCGTGAGGCATTGCCTTTGGCCGGACTTAGCCGGCCCGCTTCTTCTACGAGTTCCTTTTTGCTGCTGGGACTTTGGACCTGGCAACCTTTGGCAGCACTTAGGCTGCCGTGTGAGAACTGTTTTTGTTTGGCTGTGATTTCCTGCTTGGCATTTTGCTGGCAATATGGCCGACGATGACAAATCGACGTCGGCGTGGTTCAAGGTGCCGACCTGGAACGGAAGTCCTGATACTTGGCGCGCCTTTGAACGTGAGATGTCTTGGTGGCTGAGCTCGCTTGATCAGGAGTCCACCAAGAAGTTCAATCTGGCGGCACGCTGGCTCTTGCGACAGTCTGGAGTCGTGCGCCAGCGTGGCGAGGAGTTCAGCCCGAAGGACCTGGAGTACCAGAAGGAAGTTAGGGCAAGGGATCCCGACGGGGTCGAGATTGTCGTTGTCAAGGAGGACGCCTTTGCTGGGATCAACAAGTTGCTCAAGGCTTTGGAGGGTATAAATGGAAAGTCGGCTTTGGACCGAAAGGGCGAGCTTCGGAACCAGTTCTACTTGAGTCTTCAGCGTGCACCGGGAGAGCGCCCCGCAGACTTCCTTAGCAGATTTCGGGCGCTGACCTCGGAGATGAAAACTGAGGGCATTGATCTCCCGACCGGGGAGCTTGGCTGGTTCTTGAGGGAGAAGTTGGGTCTCGACCCGCTTCGCAAGCAGCTTCTGGAAACTGCTCTCCAAGGCAAAGAGGGATACGAGGACGTTGAGTTGGAGGCTTTGCGGCTCTTCAAGGACCTCCACACGAGTGACCCTCTGATGCGGCGTGCTGGGCTTGATTTTCGTGGCCGAGGGCGCGGCCAAGGAGGGCAACCGCCCTCAGGGAGCAACTTCAGTGGGAGATCGTGGGCGCCTTCGGCTGGGACCTCCCGGCCGCCTTCCTCTTCGAGTTCCTCGGCGCCGACATTTCAGAAAGGCGGCGGCCGAGGAGGCTTTGGCTTTGCTGCTCGTCGTCCTTCGTTCCAGCCTCGACCTCGGCAGGCCTTTGTTTCGGAGTACGAGCCGGAGCCGGATCACGACGAGACGCAGGAGGATGAAGAGCTTGTACCTGACGATGGGGCCGGCGATGGCGATGCGGTGACCTTGGACGAGGTCCTAGCCTCCGAAGCGGAGGCCTTGGCTGCTGAGCTGGAGGAGGCCGAGAATGATGGCGTGGAGGCGGCTTACTTGGAAGACCTTGAGGGCTCAGTTGAGAATGCCGCCGAGGCCTTGATTACCATGCGAGACGCCCGGCATCGCTTGCAAGAGGTCAAGAAAGATAGAGGTTTTGGCCGCAGTGGTGGCGGATCGTCTCCGACTTCTCCGGTTTCTTCTGGTGGGGCTCGGCAGTCGCCGGCTGCTGGCTTCAAGAAGAAAGGACTTTGCCATGACTGCGGGCAGCCAGGCCATTGGGCTGGAGACTCGGCTTGTACCAAGCCGGGCGCTGGGCTGGCCAGACCTCGTGGAGCCGGCCGGGGAAATGGAACCGGAGCCGGCCGTGGCGCAGGAGCTCCCCATCGCCGTGTTCAGCTGACCGAGGCTTTTACTGTGGAGACCGAGGGCGATGGCGACGAGAAGGCGGCACACGAGGTGGCTGTGGTCACGACCCTTGAAGAGGCACTCGAGACGAGTATGTTTCAGGAGGCTTTCGCTGGAGCTATGTCAGGCGACAAAAAGAACGTTGGTGCTTTGGACTCTGCTTGCAATAGGACCGTTTGCGGGCGCCTTTGGCTGGAAAGCTATCTCTTGACTTTGAACCAAGCGCCTTCCTGGAAGGTGCTGGCACCCCTTGTGGCGACGGAACCGGAGCGTGAGACCTTCAAGTTCGGGAATGACGGGACGAAGGCCAGCCGTGAAAGACATCGGCTTCCGATGGTCGTTGGCGGAACTCTGCTGTTAGTTTGGACCAGCGTTGTCGAGGTGGAGTCCTTGGGTCTTCTTCTCGGCTGAGACTTCTTGGAGGCCATCGGTGGGGTGATCAGCTTTACTCGAAGGGCTCTGCGTGCTGATCACCTGGATGCTAAAAGAGTTCCTCTGAAGCAGCTTCGGGCAGGCCACTTCTTCTTGGAGATCGTGCCGCAGAACATCGTGGAAGTTCGGCCGGGGAGCTGGACGCGACAAGGCCAGGATGGGGTGATTGAAGTGCAAGTGTCTAGCCTTGAGTGGTCAAGAAGGAGGGCGGCAGCGCTTAAGTTGAACACCGTTCCTGTGCACGAGCAGCTTGCAGCAGAGACCATCGTGAGCACCAACCGCGGCCCTGTTGTGCCGAGCAAGAAGCGCCAGCCCCGACTGGCACCCAATTCGAAGAAGCCTGCTGCCCATGCCGCGAGACGAGGCTTCGAAGGCGGCCGTGTTGGCTCGCTTTCGTCGGCTATGCCTGAGGGTGCTAGGCCGAAACGACTGGCACTTTGGAGGTATCTTCCTGTGGCTGTTGCAGCGGCCTGGGGTGCGCTTTGCCCCGCTTCCTTATGCGAGCATTCAGTCATCAGAACAGTGGCGGGAGCAGGCCGAGCAGATGGTGAAGAATGGTGCGTGGCCCCGTCGACATTTCCGCAAGGCCGTGCTGAACGGGCTGTTCGAGGACATGTCGGTGATGAAGGCGTGCTGCTATCTCCGCGATCGACTGGGTGTGCGCCTCGCCTTTCTGGAGGACCCGATGCTGGAGGGCATGCTGGCAGCAAGGTCCTCAAAAGGAGTGAAGGCCGCGATCCACAACCAATTGGTGAAGAAGCTCAAGGAGGAGGCGGCAGCCAAGGCGGCACAAGGCGAAGAGATGACGGCAGCTCGGCAGCTCCTTGGACCTCGCGGGGGATTGCCAACACTAAAGGAGGACCTGTTGCGGCTGGCTACTCTGTTGCGGGTGGAGGTGGCCTCGAACGACACCGTCGACAAGCTGAAGGCCAAGCTGCGGCCCATGGTGGAGACGATGAAAGGCCTTCCGCGACCCGTGCCCGAGCCACCTTCAAGTTCTACCGATCGGCCGGCAGTACCAGCGGCGAGGCAAGTGCGCTACTTGGAGAACGAGGAGATGATTCCCGCCGTGGCTCACACAAAGACGGCCGGCCCCATGGAGGTGAAAGGCAACGAGAACACCGAGGTCCTTCACGAAGTACACCGAATGCTGGAACGCCAGGACCAAAAGATGGAGGCACTGCTATCCCAGGCCATGCAACATATGATGATGATGATGGGAAATGCCAATCCTGGGGACGGTGGCCTCTCTCCGGACAGCGACATGGGCTTCCAGCAGGTGCACCACGAGGAGGAGGAGGACCTGTGATCCTTCCCCTTCGGCAGCAAATCAAGGCAGGGCAGCGATTGATCATTCGGCAGGCCTGGAACCGTGCCAAGTATGATGCTAAACATGCCGGTGTTACGCCACAGCAGCTGCATGAGGCTTTCTGTGTGGCTGACGCACAGGACTTGGATGTGGCACTCAACGAGCCTTTTCTGGATGTCGCTGTGCAAAGTGCGAGACCGGCTAGGGATGCAGTTTCCGAACGGGTGTTGCAGGCAGCTCGCTCCAAAGGGCATGGTGTGGGCACTCCGCCCCGCATGCATGTGCGGCCCTACTTCTTGATGCTGCGGGCCTCGGGCCCTTCCCCGTTGCTGCACTTCGCGCCGCCGGCCACCAGACGCGACAATGAACACAAACAAAGCATGGCCGAGGTGGCTGTGATGCAGGAGGCGCTGGCTCATTGGCGGTCTGGTCGGCATTTCTTCATGGAGCTTTTTCGCGGCTCGACTCCGGGCCGAACCGTGGAAGGGCAAGAGCTTCTTGATGAGCCAGGGATTTTCCACTTTCGGCGCGATGGCTGCGGCTACTTGACCTCTAGTGCTAAGGTGGCGGCTGCTTTCAAGGACGCCCCCGCTGATGAGCTTCCCTCGGCGGTGCTACGTGCCATGGAGGACCAGTTCGAAACGGACCACCGGGTGAAGGATGTGACTGAAACCTTTGCGGCCGAGACGCCGGAGGAACATGACTTCATGACGACCCCCGGTGGCACGGATGATGAGGGCGACGAGGGTGAGGTGATGCCAAAAGGCGACAGTGAAGTGCCGATTTCGTCGGCCGTGAGGCAAGCTGTTCGGAGATTGCATGAAAACACCGGGCACCGCAGCCCCGCTAGATTGGCCCGAGCTCTGGTTATTGCTGGGGCACCTGCGGAGGCGGTCTTGGCAGCCAAGCAGCTGCGTTGTGCCGTGTGCGATGAGAAGCGTCCGCCTAAGGCCAGGCGACCAGCATCGTTGCCAGGACCATGGGAGCCCGGGGATCAGGTTTGCATCGACATTCTTGATGTTTTCGATGCGATCGGCACTCGTTTCTCTGTGCTGCACGCCGTTGATGGTGTCACGAAGTTTCAGATGTCGATGCTGGTGGAGAACAAGTCGAGTGCTGAAGTGATTCGCTTCTTGCGTGAAAGGTGGGCCCCTGTCTTTGGCATGCCTAGGACCTTAGTCTGCGATCAAGGGCGTGAGTTCATCAGCCATGAGTTGGAGAGCTTCGCGGCTGAATGCAACATGTTCTTGTACCACATTGCCGTGCAGGCGCCGTGGCAGAATGGTCTGTGTGAGCGCGTCGGCGGGATCTTGAAAACTCTGCTGGCAGCGTGCACTGCTTCGCAATCCTTGATGGGCCGGGACGAGATGTCCCTTGGCTTGGGGGAAGCAACCACGGCCTACAACATGGATGTCGGTGACAGTGGCTTCTCTCCCATGCAAGCAGCCGTCGGCCGACAACCGCTTCTTCCCGGCGACGCTCTGAGGAATAATCCCGTGGAGGGCGAGGCCATGGAGGAGCCCGTTTTCGCCCGATTGGTGGCGATTCGTGAGACGGCTCGCATGGCAATGCTTCGGCTGCACTTTAGCCGTGCCCTCCGAAAGTCTGAGCTGGCGAGGTCGAGGAACCCGACGGTGGCGGCAGCTCCTGTGGTTGGTGACTTAGTCTACTATTGGAGAGAACAGAAGTACAACCGCAAGGGCAACCGGGATCCTCGGAGAATGTTGCTGCGCAAGTGGCACGGCCCTGCCCTTCTCATTGCTATGGAGGGGGCTAGTGCCTATGTTACGGCTCGGGGCTCCCTGACGAAAGTTGCTCTGGAACACATCCGCCGCGCATCGCCCATGGAGCAACTGGCCTCTGGAGAATGGCAGGCAGTCATTCAGGAGGTGATCGAGGCAGCCGAGAACGATGTTCAGTGGCAGCTCCTCGGACCGCAAAACCCTGTTGATGCTGTGCTGGAGGAGGGCCCTGGAATCTCGGAACAACCTTCAGTCGCGGAGCCGCCCGGAGTGATGTTGCCAGATGGACCGGATGCCGCTGAGAGCCCAGACGCCCCAGTTAGGATTAGTTCTTCAGTGGGCGCTGGAATCTCGGATCAACCTTCAGTTTCGGAGCCGTCTGGATCCTCGGAGTCCTTACCGTTTGGGGCTCGATTGCGTGAAGTGATGGGTCGCAGTCGTGGCAGTGATCTTCCCCCAGTCTCTCCCGATGAGTTCGTGAAGGCCGCCTCGTTGACTACACCTTTGGGGTCCAGGCGTCCTTCTACTGCGTTGGGACCAGTGGCCTCTGAGACTTCTGTGCGAGCTCCACCGTTTTCTCGTGGAGTGACCAGTGAAGAACCTTTGCCTGCGGCGGCTCCTCCTGAAGACCCTGGTGCTGGAAGCAAGCGGCCCCCTGAGGTTGACACCGAGCAGCTTCGTAGCAGTCAAGGACCCGCCGTTGACTCAAGTGTACCATTTGACGCCTTGTCTCTGGAACGTGAAGCCATTTTGGCTGCTGCTCGAGCGGAGGCCGGCGAGGTGCACCCCTTGGTGAAGTTGCAGGCGGAGGTGGCTTTGGACCGCGACAATGGCATCGACACGGAAGCCCGGGATCATGGTTCGTGGGATGGTCGCTGGCCGCTTCCGACTCGGAGCCAACACGAAGCATACGTGCAAGCCGGCATGAAGTGGCCGTGCAGTCGCGACGCCTTCGTCGTGCAAGCGGCCCGAAAGGAGTACCACTGGAAGTCCATGACGGCTGAGCAGCGAGAAGCTTTCAAGAAGGCAGCGGCCGAGGCCTGGGAAGTGTGGACTCGCAATGATGCAGTCGAGACCCTGGATGAGTCCGAATCCCAACGGGTAATAGCAAGCCTTCGACAACGGGGAGAACTACACAAAATTCTCACGCCGAGGTTTGTGTACACCGACAAGCACGATGGGCTACGCACTGAGGCCCATGACCTCCCGCTCAAGGCCAGTGCCCGTCTGGTTGTGCCGGGGTACAAGGATGTCACATCGTTGGAATTGCGGAAGGACGCACCGACGGCCTCGAGGACTTCTCAGCATTTGCTCTTCACCCTTGCGGCTAGTCACTTCAAGGATGGATGGAGAACTGGCTCTGCTGATGTGAAGAGCGCGTTCTTGAAGGGCGAGCGTTACCTCAGTGGGACCAGAGAGCTCTACTTGCAGAACATGGAGTCCCACAGCGGCAGCCCTACTTTGCCAATCGGGCGCCGGCTCGCGCGGATTGTCAAGGGTGTCTTTGGCCTCTCCGACGCTCCTCGGGAGTGGTTTCTTCGCCTGAAGAAGAGCCTGCACAAGGAGTCCTGGACGTCCTCGAGCATGGACGCGGCACTGTTTTTCCTGTGGAGCAAAGGACCTTCCCCGAAGCTTCAAGGAGTGTTGTGCTGCCACGTCGACGACTTGCTGTTCAGTGGCAACGCCGAGGCATGGAACTCCATCAACCGCCTGGGCGAGGAGCTCGGCTTTGGCTCTCTCAAACGCGACTCCTTTGTGTACTGCGGAAAGAAGGTGGACCAGGATCTGGAGACGGGAACCATCAGCTTAACGATGGAGGCCTACCACCAGAACCTCAGCCCGATCCGTGTGGCGAATGGCCGCCGTCGTGATCTGAACGCTTCCCTAGCTCCCGGCGAGGTGAAACAGTTGAGGGCCCTTGTGGGCTCCCTTCAGTGGCTTGTGGCGCAAGTTCGTTTGGACATGGGCTTCCAGCTCTCCGTGCTCCAGGCGGAAGAGGGCAACGTGGGAACCCTGCTGAAGGCGAACGCCCTGCTGAAGGAGTTCGTGGCGACCGGCGACTTTGCCCTGAAGTTCCAGGCGTTGGACCTGGAGGGAGCTGGAATCGTCGTGGTGTCGGACGCTTCACTGGGAAACGTCACCCGTACTGGTGGCGAAGGGGAGAAACCTCTTGAGCGGATTTACTCCCAGTCCTGCTACTGCGTGCTTCTTGTGGAACGACCTCTACTTCAAGGCGGCTCTGGAAAGTTCACAGTGCTTGACCACCGCAGCCACAGGTTGCAACGAGTCTGCAGGTCTACTTTCGCTGCTGAGCTGCTGGGTGTTGAAGAAGGCTTTGACGTGGGCCAGTACTGCCGAGGACACTGGGCGGAAGCACTTGGCTACAGCTTGGCGCACCGCGGCGTGGACCAAGTGTTGGACGCCGTCGGCCTTGTTGTGGTCACAGACGCTAAGGATGTCTACGACAAGGGCAACAGCGACACGCCGTCTTACGGAAGCCAGAAAAGTTTGGCCTTCACCGTTGGCTGGCTTCGAGCTATGCTGGCTCGGCCCAACGTGGCTCTTCGCTGGACGGCCACTGAGAACATGTTCGTCGATTGCGGAACGAAGCAGATGGACGCCGAGCACTTCCGCAAGACCGTCAGCGCTGGTGAGTGGAGCTACCGCTACGACGTGAAGTACGTGAAACAGACGATCAAGCCGAAGATCAAGAAGACTGCTGGCCCTGAGGTTCTGAGCGGAACTGAAGTGAAGCCGGGGGACCCTCTCCTTCCTTTTCTCCAAGGGCTAGCTACGCAAAGGGGTTGGCACAAGCGGAACAGTTTGGCCATCCAGGTTGCACATGGTGCACGTAGTTTTCGCAGGCCTGAGCCTCGCTTTTCGGCAGCTGAGTACCCGTACCGGGCAACTTTTGCCTTGTACCACGATGCCGCAGGACGCGGTATCTGGAGGATCTTAGAAGCAAACACGGCATATGGCCGGTACTTGGCGCCACTTGAGCGCGAAGCAGCAGTGCTCATCACGGTGTTCAAGGCTAACAAAGAAATAAGTATCCCTGAGAAACGTAGATCTGCTACCGCTGAGCCTTGACCGTGCATGTGACTGTCTGCTGTGACCCGCGGGCGTTCAGGCCTTGACCCAGTTTGTGCTACTGGCAGGAAAACCGTACGACCTTTAGCAGCTCCGTGTGCAGGGGTTGCTTAAGATGCATTGTACGCCTTAAGTGTTAGGGTTGGAAGGGTGTTTAGCTTGACCCCGAAGACCTGCTGGGTTGGGAACAAACGACCATCACGTGCCTCCATGAAAATAAATTGTGTCCTAATGTGTAATGCAAGAAGACACTATCCTATCTTCACTTTTATGTAATGTAATAAGGCCTACATTATAATGATATATATATATATATATAATACATGCAATACGATGCTACCCCTTGTTACTTTTTGCATATAGCAGGTTATCTTGAGTGAGGGACCCAAGGCGCCCATGAATAACAAGCATTGAAGCCTATATTCCCTGTGACAGTAGAAAAATACTTCAAAAGGTTTCTTAAAACCTAAACCTTTATGTCATATCAACCCCACCACCCTAAAGTTTGACTTTCAAATCCTAAAGACCTAAGCCCTAGACCCTTTAAAGGCGCTGCATTGGGCCTGCTGCTAAGGCTTTTCTGCTGCTGGATCACGACGCTCAAGGCTGCGCCCCTCCGCAGTAGAGCGTCCTTTAGGGTTTAGGGTTTAGGGCTTTTGGGGCATGGCGTATTAAGCCTTACTTACGGGATTATAGGCCTTCAGCCCCAAACCGTAAGTTTGGCCTTGATAGTCGGATTGGTAACCTGTACAGTTTCGGGTTTAGCCCCTCAAGGTGTGAAGCCTGTTGCAAGAAAGGTTGAAGGGCTTGGGTTAAGATGTTCAGGGTCTGAGGAGTAGGGGTGACCAGGATTTTGGGTCTAAGGCCTTCGGCCTGGAGAACCTCTTCTCCGGGATCGCTCCGAGACCTTCCGTAAGCCCTGAATCAACAGGCCCAAAGATCTGAAAGACCGAAACAAAAGAAGAGCGAACTCCCAAAACACCAAGCCCTAAACCCTAAACGTCTAAGGTCCTAAAACCGTCAGAGAGGGTTGGTTTAGAGTTTAGGAATCGGGAATCGTTTGATTCGAATTGTGTCGAGGGCATTTTGAGTTGGTTCAAGCTGCTGCTTGGAAGGATGTGAGGGCGAGATATGCCCCAAACCATCCTCACACCCTAAGCCCTAAAACTTGTACCCCCCAAAAAAATCATCAAATTTAAAAACCCTTATATATAAGTCCTCAGCCCCAAAATCCTAAACCCTGAACCCACCGCCCACAAGCACCGAACCGAACCCGGGCGCGTAAGCCGTGCAATTCCGAGCCCAGAAACCCTTCACCCACAAATCCGAAACCCCTCACAAATCAATCGAGATAACAATCGTAAACTACACCAACGCCCTGTATAAACCCCTAAGCCCTCCCTCCCACAAATGCCAAACTACAAAGTCTAAACCCTGGAACCTCAAATCCTAAACCCAAAGCCCAGAGACCTTAAACCGAAACCCTAAAACCCTAAACCCAAATCCTAAGCCCCTATCCCGGCCTATCCCTGAATCGGAGAGTTTTCGGATGTCCCACCTGGGAGGAAGTGCCGCCCATGCTCCGAGAAAAAGGTGACGAGCAGGTCAAGGACGGAAGAGTTTATGTCATTCTTTAAGTTTGTGTTTCAATTCGGGATTTCACAGGGGGTTCCATTGTTTGTATTTTCTGCATTTAGTTAGGGTTTTGATATGCAGGGTTTCCTGAGGCTTAGCGGGTTTCAGGGTGTAAGAGTAAGTGGGGCTGAAACTGGGCAATTATGGACGCAGGCTTCAGGAAACCTCAGGATCTAGTCTCGTGGGACAGGTTTCGGTCAATTCGGAGATTCGTCCGTTACGGTTCAGTGCAGTGGGCTCACGGCGGGATGGCGGGGCTGTCAAGTAGCAAGGGCCACACCTAATTTTTGGCTTAGGGTTTCGCTCTTAGCATACTTGGGGCTTCAGGTGCAGGGTTCAGTCAGTTTTCATTTTGTTTTCGTTTACGGTTTGTGGTACTGCGTTTGCCTCTCGTCAAGGTTGACCTCCATGTTTGCATCTTCCAGAGTTTCGAGTCGGCGAGTGTAGGATCTACCGGTCGGGATTCAGGGTATAGTGTCGAAAAGAAAGCCGGAGACATCAACACAATAGCACAGCACAGCAAAGTTCCACAGCATCCTAAAGCAGAATCCCTTCATCCTACTGCTAGGCCCTTTGCATGTATTCGCCCCGAATGACACTGAAAGTATTAGTACCCACATTGCTACTATCCTGGGCCGTAGTACCGAACTACTGGAACCTTTGAACCCGTATGAGGGCACGTGACATAGACCCAGAACTCCTCTCTCTTTCCGCTCTTTTGGTACGCGCTAACACGGGCTTTCAGTAAGCCTTGGCCAGGGGTGCTTTCAGATTCGGGTCGTAAGTAGGGCCTTTACCGAGCATGCCCGGTAGTACCCTATTCCCTTTTTGTAGTCCTAGGTTCCCTATAAACTTACCAAATACTGAAAAGGGAGCCCCTTTATTTTTCTCCATATTTTATTGGGCATCCTAGATACTTGTCAGGATGTCAGCACTCGGAGCATACTAGCTAAACCTTGTACGTAGACGACTGATGTAGTCTGAGTCGCTTCAGGTATAAGACCTCAACCCTCAACACAAACTGAAAACTATAGCCTTCAACTCCAGACATTTAACCCACCAACAAAACCCAAACCCAAAACCCCTCAAACTGCTCAAGCAAGACTCTCTCCATCAGGATCTGCCTCCGATATCCCAAGAAGAGCTTCAAAAGCATTCTCACCAGGCCTGGACGGCCGGGGGGCGGGGGGGGAGGGGGGGGCGTTTCCGAGCCCAAGTCGAGAAAACGTTCACAGGTGCGGGTTTAGGGTGTAGGGGTTCAGGGGTTAGGGTTTTGGGATGTTTTGGGTTTTGGGGGCCTTCGAACATCCGAGGAAGGAATCTCATATGCCTCCCTAGCAGGTTTTTGTTGCCTAGACGCGGCTTTTTCCCTGCACCTTGTACTTCTAGTGGAGACAGCTTTCTGATTGCTTTCATCTGGAGCCCTCGCAGGGCTTGCGTGTGTGCACGTTCTTCTTTGCACAGTGGTCACCATGGACTACAATGAAGGGTATAGTGGAGGGGGCGGGGTCAAAGTCGGGGGAGGCTTTCCCCTACACCTTACGGTTGATAATACAAATCCTGCATTACCCATAATAAGGAATAGTCACAGCTCCTGCGAAACAAACTTTGAACCGAAACCCAAAACACCTAAAGCCGTCTGAAGTCTGAGACAAGCCTAAACCCTATAAACCCCTAATGAGCAGCAAACGAGCACGTCGTACCTACAACTGCAGACCTTGCCAGGCTTATCCGAGAGTAGGTGTCAAAAACCTCCTAATGCCCTATGACAACTTTTCAAAGGGCGACCTGTGGGTGTGCGTGGACGGCGTGGTCGCGAACCTGACCGAGCTTCCTCGGCCAAATTTTCGAGTTTTTCATACAGTAACTGTCAATGACTCATATGTGTGGGATTTCCCGTTTCAGTTGTGGTTTGTTGTTCGCGAGCGTGTGTGTGTGTGTGTGTGCGCGCATTTTTTCGGTTTGTGGGTTTGCCCTAAAGGGAATGTTTCGTTGTTCAGGGTCTTGGGGTTTCGGTTTACGGCTTGATGCAGGTGTGGCGATCATGGATCGTTCTCTCACTGTCATTATGCTTGTCCTGCTCACTCAACTGCTTACAAGTATAGGGTAACCTGCAAGATCTCCTTCCCTCAAGAACCCAGGTTTGCCACCAGCCACCCCGGTGGCGTGGACTTGCTTCTCCAGCACGGAGGCACCTGCGCGAATTTTTTCAGTTGCAGGCGAACAGGGTTCAGTTGTCGAGAATGTCTGGTTTGGGGTTTATGGTAAATCCTAAATCCGAAACCTGGCAACCTAAATTGGGCTTTGGAATGAGTCGTGAGACCTGCCGAAATCGTGATGTTTACTTTCAGAACTACCACCAGTTGCCTCCCTTAACCCCTACGCAATTCCTTCCAGCGAGCTGCTCAAAAGAACATCGATACACTCTGGGAAGAACCCCCGAGCATAGCTCGTTTGCCTTCAGTGGTGCGAGAGGCAGTCAGAAGCTCCATGCAGTCCTTTACACGGTTTGGCTTAGGCTCTACTCTGCTAGCTGTCCAACACAGGGGCCTGAAACCCTGAACCGTAAGGATCTTATTTGTGGGTCCGAAATCTGTTTTCAGTGGGGGTATCCGACAACATCCAATAATCTGAAAACTCTGTAGTCTGGTATGAGCATCTGAGGTCGGGTTTTGACCAAAAGTTCAAGAACCCAATGTCGAGCCGATCAAGATGGGCTTCAGCTGGGTTGTGCTTTGGGATAATCGTTGATTTCCCCTGTTGCCTTATAAAGGGAACCTATTCATAAATAATTTTCAAACGGTTTAAAGCACAACCCAGTCAGGGTTGAGAGTGTGGGGAAGTACACAATCGTTAGAATGCTTGGGTGTTCGTCCTGCGTGCTTTAGAGGTGGTATGTGTTTCGATTCACTGGGGGGTAGTATCTGCTGATTCGTCTAATTGTTTCGCATAATCCGACCTCGTTGGGGCTATCTTACTGATGAGAGGCTACCGGAATAGAATGCGGCATTGGGTATACAAATATTGGCTAGGGCTGTGCGATATGTGCATACACATGTAAATACTGATTGATTGTATTCCACTTATACCAAGCAGCCCTGGGGATTTATGTTGATTTGTAGTTATTCAAGCCCCCATCTCGGCAGAGGTGGTGATGCCTCAGAGCCTTTCCATGACGTGGGGCACTCCGGCTTTGCGGTGGACCAGCGACTCTGCCAAACTCCCACACGGGAGTTTCCGAACATTGGTGATGCATTATTTTGGGGCCCCGATAATGATAAGGATTATGCACGGTGCTATATCGGGGTCCCCATTTTTCGGAAACTGCCATACAGGCTCAGGGTATTGGGTTCTTGGTAGCTGCCCAAAGTAGAGCGGCAAAGGGTTGAGCCCGATTTCTTGAGGGTGTCATTGTTGAGGTTCATGTCATGGGTCCGGTGAGTGTAATATAGTAGGTCCTTCGAATTAAAAAGAATTGGGGAGCGAAATTCGTTGTTGATCTAAGCAGTTGTTACTCTTGTAGTTTGTTTACACGGGCAAGGGGCGAGTTCGACGATATCATCGCCTCACCACCAGCATTATCATCACCGCCATCGTTCAATGACCACGAACATTATCATTCCAAGCAGCGACACGACCATCGCGCATGTGATGAGAGGACACTGGATGGTAAGTCTAAGTAAGAAGAGTACCATCGCCGTGATATCACTGTCTTCAAATGTCACACTATGACAACGACAATCGTCGTCACCACCATCATCGTTGCCGCCCTTCACCGTCAGTCAGCACAAGAAACCATGCCGGTCCATCCTCATCATCATTCACAGCCAGCAGTAGAACCTGCTTCATCATCAAACGCGACAACATCAGCAGCAATGTCATTGTCACGCACGCGCACACACACACAAGCACCATCACCAGCCTCCTCATTCCCCTTCTCTTCATCAAATGGTCTAGGATCGACGAAGCCAGACATTGAATAACTGGTTTTGTTGATGCCAGCTGAAGATCTGTCGTTTGTCGTGCTCAGCTTAGGTTGAAGAAGCATGCCGTTGGCATGCTCGCATTGCCCCAGTCCCCGCAGGCCATTCAGCAACGGCTCCACATCTCTCTGTTTGTTGTGGGATGTTGGGCTAGTTTCGTTCATGCGGGGCGTTCTCTACAACAATCAAAACCAAGCTTGCAAACTTTCGGGCCGCGTTGCGCTCCTTGAGCGGCACCGGCAGAATCTCACTGCGAGTTCGCTCTTGCTTCTGGGATTGGTCGCCCAGGCCACACAGATAGTCCCCGGTCCTGGAACGGCCCCGACATGAGAACTAGTCTGTAGCAGACCCCAAAACCCTATTCTTGTTCCCATGATTCCCATCTACCTCCGGAAGCCGCCAAACAGCTGGACTGAATGCAAACCGTGTTCGCCAGGCAGGGGAAGGCAAGGGAGCTATTGCCGTGGAAAGGGACACGGCTCCCCGTTTGCATGGATTGGATGTTGGTTGCCATAGGGATCCGAATAATTAGGATAGTGAGTGCTTTTGTGTGGGGAGGGGGGGTTATGGATGTATTTTATGTGTGTACAGATATGTACATACTTATTTTGTTTCATGAACATATGCTGTAGTGTCCAGATTGATGTCGGGACTACAAAGGTGTATTTTAACCAATTGTAGGTCAGGTTTCTCCTGATTATGCAAACCCTGCATAAGTTCGGGGCACTTGCCCTGAGGGTGAGATGACAAGAACGACATGTACTCCCCCAGGTGCTGATCTAGATTCACTGGCTACTCCTGACCTCAGGTGATGTTCATTGGCATTTGGACATGTCGGGGTGTGATTTGATACTACCTGTGTCATGTATACTTGAGCCGCAATTTCTCGACGTGTATAGTCATCTGGACGGAAAATTTAGAGCTTTGGAAGCCCACATAGACAACCCCGAAATGGCGTGCCCGAAGTCACCAGCTGGAGCGCCCGAAGTAGAACTGACTTACTAAGCCGCGTTATGCTTGAAGTCGGGTCCATGAGTCGGTCGTTTCTTGTCCAGCTAGTAGGGCTTGGGGATGTCGGAAAGTTTCAGGAGCTAGCTTTTCGTTAGGTGTACTTAGAAATAATTTTCAATTTTTGGTTTTCTGTAATCCCTAAGAAACAGCTAAAATTATCATGGTTGCTAGGGTTCTAAGTTCAGTATAGTTTCGTTATTGGGGAGTATAGCTGTCCGCATCTGTCATTGCAAAACTGAGCTGAACCCTAAACCCTAAACCCTAAACCGAGGTTGCGAGTCGCATTTTCACGAAGGAGGATCCTTACAACGCATCCCCCTCAGCTGGGGATCCGGTTCCTGGCTCGAGGTTACAAAGCAACCCTAGACGTTTGGGCTGTGACTGTGAGGAGTGCTTCGTTAAGACCTCGGAAGTTTCAGCCAGTGCTACGCAGATGCCGTTCCGATTGCACAGACTTGTGAGAATCGACAGTTGCTGACCCACATGTTGCCCTGTTACGGGGAAGCGCATTACATGCAAAAGAAGTTTGGCGTATGTTTGAACTTTGCAATCTTGTCGTTTCCACTTCTCTAGATGGTGAGGGGGCTGCCAGAGATCAACCTTTGTGGCTTCTGCTCTACCGCGGTGGGGGCATCTAGGACTGCGAATTGTAGAGCTGCACGGCGAGTTACAGACAGGGGGGCCGGCTTTTAGCTAATCCTCAGAGTCAAGGGTGAGCTTCGAAGCCCAAGGTGTGCCAGTCATGACCCAAAAGCCAGCGCATGCTCACGATCAGGAACTCAAAGGTTATTTGCCCAAGACCTGCAGATTGGAAACCAAGGTGCACAAGGTGCTGGGCTTCACAGTCCTCTCCTTGTATCTCTATCGGATCTTCGTTTGGATCTGTTCGGCGCCTGGCTTCCCTGCAGTTTGCGATCATGATCTTAACCCGACGCCACTCCCGAAGGTAGGATTCCATGTTCTTGGGTAACATCTGGTGAGTCCCCATCTTCTCGTTCCCTGTAGAGCCCACATAACAAGGACCCCGCCAAACCCGCAAACCCATGTCACTTAGCTGCCAGCATTCAGGATAAACCTGTGATGTCGCGAATTCCCAGACAACAGTCACTAATCCAAAGCCGCTGGGGGCCTACCAAGCTCAAGAGCGCTGAACCTGCCCTTTGTGATGCACCCTGAACCCTCAAGAACCCCAAGCCCTAAACCCTGAATAACCTACCTTCTTAAGGACTTATATAAGGAAATCATAAGAAGGAGCCGTAAAAAGATAGGTTATTCAGGGTTAAGGTAAGCCCTAAACCCTGAACTCAGTCAGCTAGGCGGGTGGAACAAAAACCCTGACCCCGAAGCCGCTGCCAGCTGAAAGGCTCTGCCGTCCTTTTTTGAAGAGTTAAAGAGAGAATATTGGCTGTAAACTCAACTTTTCAACTTTTGGGGGTTCTTATAAGGTACAATAGTCGATTCTGAAAGTTTCAACTTTTGAACCCTAAACACTAAACCCTAAACAAGAAAACCCTTGGGTTTTGGGCCAGCGAGAACACTCATAGGGATCCTTAGGGGTGTCGGGGGAGGGGGGGTAGGGGGCCTTAAGGCAAATAATAAGGACTAATAAGGCCTATTTAAGGAAATATAGCCCCCTACACCCTCCCCCCTACACCCCTAAGGATCCCTATGAAACACCTCCTGTAAAGTCAACTTTTCAACTTTTGGGGTTCTTATAAGGTACAGTAGTCTATTCTGAAAGTTTCAACTTTTGTTTCCTTGGGTTTTGGGCCAGTGAGAACACCTCCAAGGCCAATTACAAGGACCGGACTCTGACTGGGCCGGCTTTAGGCCAGACTACTGGGCCCTGGCCCCGTCCTTAGCCGAAGTTGGCTTAAAAGGGGGTGTAGGGTTCCTTTTAAGAGGGGTTTAGGTTCCCTTTCAAGGGGGGGGGGGGGGGGGGGTTAGGGTTGGCTGAGCCTTTCATGTTTCGGGGTTTAGAGTTTGGGTTTGCTACAGCATTCGCCGTTCCCCGGCAAGACTTCAAGAGGCCTGGATGCAAGAAGGGTTTGGGTTGGTTGTTTGGTGTGCGTCCTTTTGCTTGGGATCTATGCGGTGTTTAGGGTTTCGCGCTGTAGGGCATCTAAAAGCGCCCAGGTCCCAAACCCTAGACTCATGGCACTGCTTTCATACAACATGTTCTTCAATCAAGCCTGGCTCAAGCCATCCCACCCGGTTGTGGGAAGCTCGTAGTCGTAGCGGTGCGAAAGCGCAGTGATTCGTATCTTCCAGTCGCATCGACATGATGTGGCTGATCACAGCGGCCCTCTTCGTGGCTCATCTTAGCCCTGCTGGGTCAAAGCGCATCTTGGTCCATGACCTTGCAGCAGAAAAATCTGCGCATTCGTGGCGGGATGATTTGGAAGACCTGCTTGAGGAGGCACGAGGTATGATGAAAACAGCTAGACGCAAGCTGGTCGAGGGTGACGCGAAGGCGCTCGACCTTGCAGCCAAGTGGTTTGGTCCGCAAGTTGCGTGGGACCCAAGTGTGAAGAAGGAGCTCTTAAGGGTGATGAAGTCTACCACAAACGTCTTGAGCAACTGGGTTGTCTAGGATTTTTTCGATTTCCCCAATTATTTTGTGGAGAACCATAATAGTAAACAGTTTTCAATGGCTTAAAGGAGAACTCAGGCAATTTCAAGGCCGTGAAGAAGACTTGCGACAAGGACACCTTCGCATATGTTTTTCCGGAGAAGTTCCCCAAGCGAGGCCTCTACGAAATGATCTTGTGCCCATTGTACTTCAATTCGAACCACAAGGTGCAGCTCGAAACCCTCATTCATGAAGCATCTCACCACAAAAAGGCCTTGCTGGATGATGTCTGTACCTTGGGCACCAAAGGGCTCCTGTACGATGAATCCCTATTATGGTAATTGGGGCCTAAACCGTAGCCGAAAGCCTTTTCGGAGTAGATGTCGTCCTGAAGGTATGGACAGCATTGAAGGACGCGGTCGTCACCAGCACGAAACCAAGGAGTTTGTCGTGATGAGCCAGACGCTGGTCTTTGGAGTACCCTACTTTATTGCTTTTTTGGGGGACCTCTTCCATAAAGGAGACATTATGATATGAAAGTCTATCCTTTTTCCCCCAGGTTGCTTCGAAACCCTCTAAACCCCCTCAAAAATACCTAAACCCTACACAAACCCCATATAGCCTAAATCCTAACCCTAAACCCCAAAACCCTAAACCAAAGCCCAGGTGCCTTTCGGCATCCTATCCCCGCCTGAATTGGCTGTTGGTACGCTTCGCGCGGACCCAAAAAAAAGCCCTCAAAAAAAAAACAAAAACAAAGCGAAACCCTAATAAACCCTAAACCCCAAATAAACCCGATAAACCGTATATAAATCCAAACCCTAAACCAAAGCCGAGGAATCTGGTGAAGAAGTACGCAGGAATAGGGCCGGTCTTTCCGGACTTGCAGTTCGACCTTGACGTTCTTTGGCATGTTTGCGGAGCTTGCTTCTTCTTTCTTAGGGTTTAAATTTTACCTTCTATGATTCGGACCGGGAATTACATAATTTAAATAACTCAAACAATTTATATCCGGAGGCGGGGGCGTCCGGGGTTTAGGGTTCAGTGTTTAGGGTGATAAGATAAGTCATCCCTTGTAGTATGCATCACTCGTCAGTGCTTCTCTTCGTTCTTGCGTTGCTCACATGTGCATCCCCGAGGTCTCCTAAGGTGACTGAGGAAGGCTCTGCCAGAGAGCATCGCTGCCGGCATACACTCCAAGTCCGTGCTTAAAAGAAGGGTTTATAGGATCTAGTTGGGTCCTTACTCCCTAATACAATCTATGTCATGTTTTGTTCAAAGGGGAAAAGGAGGGACCCTTAATGGGGACCCCTACCCTATAATAACCTATATAATGGGTATCTGATAGCTATATTAAGGGTATATACCTCGGGGTCGTTATTGGGGGTCCCTCCTTTCCCCTTTGATTTGTGGGGAGCCAAGGTTGGTGCGGTGGCAAATTACGTCTACTTTGTTGACCCAGTGACGCTTGAAATTCTTGAGGATGACGGCGAGGATGATGAGGATAAGTACGTTTCCAATGCCTACGACGAAGATGATGACTACGATGATGAGGATGAAGACGAGGATGAAGACGAGGAGGAGGAGGAGGAGGAAGAGCCTGCGGTTGTTCATCGTATCGTTGATTTGAAGGTGGGTGGCAAGGTTAAGAAAAACATGGCCTTGGTTCAGCTCAACCCCGCCGATGACTGCGATGACAAGGCTTATGGGCGCAAGGAGTGCGCCAGCATGGCAAAAGTGAGTCCGGTGAAGGCTCTACGCAACTTTGTCATAAATGGGTAACATTTTACAGTTTTATGGGTACTTAAACCCAATAAGGAATCACAAACTAAATGTTCAGTCCTATCCCAACCATGAACTAGGCAATGCTGACAACTTCTGTTACTTTGTGGTGGATGCCTCGTCGGGGGGCTCTTTGCTGGAGGAACTCGCGACAAACAATGCAACGAGCATGGGCATGCACTGCGACTGTGATCTTGCTGCCAGCGGCAAGAACTTCCAGGCAGCAAGCTTGTCGCCCCGTTTTGGGGGGACCCCAAACCCTCTAAAACCTAATAAGCCCGGAACCGAATTATGATGCCTCGAACAGCGACGCTACGTTTGACAAAGCCCCCCTCAGGTGGCATACCAAGCAACTCATGGCGTGGAGTCGAAGGCCCCACTACGCAGTGCACGGGCCACGTATGCAAGGATTTGTGGATGTGACTTACTCAGCCTACAGAAGACCTTTGAACCTTGTGTTTTTTCCTTTATTTTTGGTTTCTAGAAGAAAGTGGGAGCCTCTTTGCTTGTTGTGGACGAGGCTAGCTTGGCATGAACAGCTGAGCTTGGCGTTGGGCTGTAGCCAGAGGTCTCTGGATGCTTAACCTCCCAGACTCGGCGATTCCCTTGCTCTCCATATGCTGTGACCCGGGAAACCAAATGTGCACGCGCTTCAACATTTGAGAGTGAGGTGGGTTGCAGTTTAGCAGAATGTCGTGGCGGCTCGGGCTTGGGTCGAAGGGGGGTTGCAGGGCCTGATAATTACAAACTCGGGAACGAGTCCCCGGGTGCCAGGAAGGATGTGGAAGATCGAAGCTTTTTGACTGCGAGACCTCTTGCCTCGAAACTGCTCAATCCTAGATCCTGAACCCTAAGCCCTAAACCCTAAAACCCCCAAACCTTAAGCCCTAGATCCTAAACTACATTTAAAGAGTCAAGGTGCAGCTTCCTTCAGGTGGTCGTGTCTTTACACTACACCCCGAAAGACCGTCCACACGTCAAAAGCAGCTGTCCTGCAGATCTGGCCTGAAGTTCAGCGCCCTGCAACGAAATCTGGCAAGCCCCAAAGCCCAAAACCAGCACACTAAACCACGAACCACATCCCCGACTCCTATAAAGTGCCTCAAGCCCTATCCCCAGCTAAAACCTGAATCCTAGGCCTACAGTTGGCTAAACCCGAAACCCCAAACTGCTTAGCTTGACTGCCACAACATCCCTGAACCCCAGATCTGGCGAGTCCCGGCGTCAGAGCATACAGTAGAAGCCAGAAAGTTGGAGCATCATTGGCCTCATGCCCTTAAGGTAAATAAAGTATAAGGGATCCTAGCACTAATCCTCCTAAAGTCATGTTCCAACTTTCTGGCTTCTACTTTAATCCCCAGACCCCAAGCACTCCAGGCCAGCGTCCTCACCGTGGAAGGGCTGCAGCTGTCCTCCTTCATCTTCCACGTGCCGACTGGGCTCAATATCCCGGAATTAGATCCCAAAAGATCATCCCTATTATGGTTTCGAGGGGCCTAATTTCATAAGGACCCTTTGGGAATGAGAAACCCGTAGGCCAGGGTTTAGGGTTAAAGGGTTCCTTTGTAGATCCCTAAACCCCTGAGCCCCTAAACCCCCAAACCCTAAACCCTTAAACCAAAAACCCTAAACCCTTAAACCAAAAACCTAAACCCTTAAACCAAAAACCCTAAACCCTTAAACCAAAAACCCTAAAAGATTACCAAAAACCCTAATCCCTTAAACCAAAAACCCTAAACCCTCAAATTATGCTTTGCCAAACTGGATATTAGAGCGGCCTTCGACTCGCTCTCGCATAGAGCCATAGCTCACTATCTCCTAGGACTTGTACCTAGCAGAGAAGCCCGAACTCTCTGGAATTTAGCCACGAATAACGAGATCATACTCGAGGTAGGTGGACAGTCCTGGAAGCAGCTCTTGGGCAAAGGCATACTGCAAGGCACCTCCTACAGTGCAGAGCTGTTTTCACGGATCATTTCGTGGATACTTGAGCCTATCATACGTGATCTCCAACAACATGACCCCCTTCTTGTAGGTGGTGTGTCCTTTCCGCCATTACTTCTATATGCAGACGACATTCTCTTGATTGGTACATCCCCATTAAACCTTCAGGAGAGATTGAAACGTGTCCAGCATGCCCTGTCCGCTGTGGGCCTGCATATCAATACCCATAAGAGCTCGGTCCTTCAGGGTCCACTGGGTGAACATTACGGGGTATGGGGGGTTAATTCCTTCCTCCCCCTGCAGACATCAGAGGCCTTTATCTTCTTGGGAGTTCCTTTAGGATACCAGGTGACGGGGGAAGACACCCTGTTCCACTGTCTGCGTAAGACCCAAAGTAGTTTTTTCGCATTTAAGCGCCTTATGGATTCTACTCACTCGGCTCTATCCACTCGAGTTTCTATTTTCGAAACCTACGTTAGCAGCCGATGGCTTTGGGCCTCGCCAGCGGTTTATCCTAGTGTGGCTCTTCTCCGCAGGGTAGATTCAATGCGTAACACCCTCCTCCTTAGTCTGCTCCGATTACCCACAGATCCGCTGCTGGACTGGGTCACTAATGAGGTTTCTAGGCGTAGGGGTGTCCGTATCCTTTGTGAAAAACTGCCCAACATGCCTAAGTGGGGGCAACATTGGCTGCAACGGTTTTGGAGATATTGGGGACATGCGGCCAGAGAGAGACACGACAGTCCCCTAAGGCAATACTTCATGTGCTTGACCGGTTTTAGGCTACGACGACGTCTTACACAACCTGCAGCTGTTGTTGATACTGATGCACGTAAGCTCCAACAGGTCTATGAGTGTTTCCGCTTTAAACATTCCTATACCATGTGGATGGATGCAGCAGAGGATAGGCACCTGTGGAGTAGTCTAGAATTTTTCTGGTTACAATACTGGCTCACCCCTCTCCCGGACCCTATCCCCTCCGATCATCTTATGGGTAAACAACTCATCGCCATCGCTGACTACCGTGCCACCTTTCGACCTGCGCGTAGTTTGCCTTTTGAGAAACCATATAGCCATCCTTTCAAGTTAGTGTCCCATATTCATAAGGACTTTGAGAAAAGAAAAGGCATATTGATCCTACTCATTCAGCACGAAGATCAGGGCTGCTCCATTATTACGGGCACTGCGGGGTTTGATCTAAGTACAGTCCTTGTCACCCAGGTACCCCCTCACTATGAGAGTGCTCCCAATAACTGTCTTGTTGGACTCCTGGTACTAGGTACCCTGATCAAAATACTCCGTGCAGATAGTCAGTGTTTGTTCACCCCCATTATCAGCCCGAGTTTTCTTTCACGTGCGGTGCTCTCAGGCCACTCTAATAGCATCGACCCCATCCTACAAGCCAAGTGGGAGTCTGTTGAGATGCGGTTTAACATACTAAACAACTCGTTTCTCCCTCCGAAGAAAATTCCTGAGAAGTCTCAACATCTTTTCTGTCCTCTATACAACCCTTCCCCTATAAAGTACTCCAGCGAAGTTGGGACTTTCGTGAAGCATCCTATGTGCCGCTGAAGGAATTTGTAAACCGGTAAAAAAAAAAAACCTCAACCAACGGACCAAGACCGGGAGGAACAAAAGGGGGGGGGCAGGACGGGCTGGAAAAGGTACGCCTGCATATGATGCGGTGGCATGCATGCAGTCTGTTCAGTTTCGCTGTCGATGTACACTCATTGCATGCTGCTGCCGCCTACATGTCTGCCGCATGAGCTACAGCTCTTACTTGTAAAAGCACTAGGGCAGTCCGTGCTGCGATGTCAAATGCGAGTGGCTCCCTCGATAGCCCTGGCCCAATTCCTGAGCGCCCCGGCCTTTGTTTTCTTAGCATCCATGTGGCAAGAGCTGCAGTGGCTCTTCATCCTCGTGCTCAGCACGATCTACGGACTGCAAGTAACAGGACTGACTGCACGTGCATGGAATTTATGCATGACAATGGTGACGAAGTGGGGAGAGGCAGAGAACCCTGTTTATGGCCCGGAGCCATACAGCTCTGCGATTCATGGCCCTGATCCCAAATGGCTCCCCTCTCTAACTGACGGAATCGAACGCCTGATGTCACTCTTGGAGAGACCACCATCGGATCCGCCTGCGTGGGGAGACCGCCTCCTTGCAAGTTTGGACCATATCAAGGGCCTGCTGGAAGCACCTTTGGCGCAGACGCTCGACCAACCCACCAAGGACGCCTTGTCCCACATGGGGGACATAGTCGAGGAGAGCAAAAAGATGCTCTTCAGTCTGGCAGCCAAGCGACCGCATCTCGATCTGCTCCCTGAAATCAAGACTGCATGCGATGTGATACGTGACAAGTTCGAGACAGGTGGCCTTATGATCACCCCTCAGGCTCGTGCTGAGGACCGAGCCTTCACACAAAATGTATCCAAAGAGCTGCATGACCTGGGTAAGGGACAACAAAGTCTGCACGGCGAGTACAAGGAGGTCAAGCAACTGTGCCAGGAGACCAAGCAGAAGGTCAACAGCACCTATGGACTTGAGGCGATCTACCACCACATATCGACAGTCCTTCAGTCACAGAAGAACTTTGGTGCGTCCATGCCCAAGATAATTAAGTGCGAGCAAGACGAATTAAAAGAAGATGTGCAGGCACTTAGTGCCAAGCTTGAGCGAGTCGAAGACATGCAGAAGCACATCGTCTCCATCCTACAGGAAATTCAGGAAGCTGCGCACCATAAGGACCAGCCAACGGAGCCTGTACAGCCTGACGGCCCACCTTATTCTTCCCCTAGCCCTGCCCCCTATACTGGTGATGGGTTACGTGTTCCTGAGATTATGTTCCTTCTGTCCCTAGTCACCATCCGCCGTCGTCTCCGGGCCCTACCAAGTTTTCGCTGGAACAGGCACTTGGACCAACTTCCAATATGCCGCAGCATAATCTGCCGACGCATGGTCCTCCCCACCAATACTCCCCGGATATGCTTTCTACTATGTCTATGTGCTTGGAAATGATGAAGACCATGCAACAGCAGACTATGCAACACCATCAACCGCGCAGTTCGTAATTTCTTTTTCTCCTTTTCTACATTCTATTCCTATAACAACATCCTATATCTTTTGCTTCACTTGCGCGATGCTGAATTCGTGAGTTAGAATTAGTGAATTTAATGAGCTTAGCCCTCATAACACCCAGTCCTCTAATTTGCACTCCGCTTTAATGCGCAGTCCGCCAGCGATGCCCAAATACTGGGCATTCACACCGACTTGTGCATGAAAACACTCTGTAGACAGATGGCGCGCTGATTATCTTAAGGGCTTCGCCCGCCGACCACAATAAACCCAAACCTTTGTCAGGGCTTTTGGATGGGATTTTCACTTGTATGATGTCTCGACCCCACAAACCTGCAAATTTCCTGTCATTCAGCGGCATTAAAACCATCTGTTACTTGCACTGACGCAGCTCCTGGCCCACCTGAGTAGCGAAGTTGATGCACCTCCATAAGCAGCCATGTGGTCTATGCTTGCTCAGAATCCGCTGCTGCTTCTTCCACTCATTGGTGGGATATGGGGAC